GTACTGAACATCTAAACAACCAATTCAAACTTCTTATAACAGATTATTATTTACCATGAAATTGATGTGTCGATGAGTTGTTTTGGGATGAGCTTCCTGAATTCTGATAACAGTCCTTTTAGAAATTTCTATTTCCGCCAAAACTTAAAAAATTCGCTCCGACAAAAAAAATTCAAGCATAATTTATCTTCCGACGGAGGGGCTAGCCTCCTCCGACGGGGGGGCTGTAGCCCCCCCTGCCCCCCCTCTGGCGCCACCACTGGTTTTCAATAAACAAAGTCTCATATCACTGAGGAAAGGTAAGCACATGGAATGCTCAAGATTATTAATACCCTTGCAGGTAAAGCGGCGCGTTGAAAAAAGTTGTGGGTCTAAAAAATGGGGAGAAGGGCTAAAAGAGAATCGACTGGTGGTTCATTTCTAAACTTTCTGCATTTTCGGTGGTTCATTTCTTAACTTTCTGCTATTCCCTCTCGCCATCTCCCCTTCTCCGCAGTACCTGTTTTGACACTCTTGCGATTCGTAAGTGGTGGGCGAACTAAGGAGAATTCGGCAACAGAGCCTGTTGTTCAAATGTCAAACCATAAAAAACTAGGCATATTCTTACTGTACCAACGCATAATCTTAAATTTTGTCATTGTTCTTGGCTATTTGTCTTTTTTGTTTAATTTCATATCCAAGACTGGGTAAGCGACGGATTTTTGGCTCGTGCAGGAGGATTGGCTTTCTACATTTTTTCTTTTTATGAATCCGCGACATTCCGATTTAAATAAAGTATTCGATTAAAAAAATTAAATCAAATAGAACTGGGCATCACACACGGCAAATCTTTTTAAAAGGAGCGTTCTTTCATTTCAAAAATAACTTAATACCTTTTGCTTTGCAGTCCTTTATCGTGTTCAGCAACGACCGGACTTTGTGATGAGTTGGGATCAGAGAATGAAGGAGAGAGTGATCGCGACGAAGATGAAGGCGTCTGCAATTGAAAATCCAGACTTATATGTAATAATCATTACCTTTTAAGTGTATAAAATTTTATCTTTATGTTGAAGATATTCCTAAAAGTTCCAGGGTGAGGAACCTGCCGGTAAAGTAGTTACTGTTAAAAAAGTCACTACATTGATTCCAGTAATGCGTGGTCCTGAAAATCGAAGTGAAATGGGGTTCAGTACATAGCAGCAATGCTTGCAAAAGTCATTCAGTTAGGTTTGATTTTGAAAGAATTTTTCGATTTCCAAATGCCTCTCGGGATATTCCCTTAAAAATTTTGGGGGCAACGAACAAAAGCAAACAATTGGGTACAGTCTTGCTAGATTAGCGGACAAGGGCCTTCGACACCAAAAACACCACGATCACTCTTAATTACCATGATACTTACTGCAGACAGTACGGGCCTCTCGTATTGTATCGTGCCAGTCCATATGTGCCAATAGTAAATTTCGCTTCCATCTCTTACTTCCTGCCAGCCTTCAGGTAAATCATCAGTGACCAATGCTTCTGCTTTCTGTAAAAGGTCCTTCATGTCAACCTCCGCGTACGGATTATCTCCTATGAAGGAAATGGAATGTTTTTCAGTAGCTAGTAAAAAGCTGTGCTTCAAGAAAAAGGAATCATTCTGATCAGTTTCAGACTAAGATTAAAGATAACATGCAAAGACTTTCTTGAAATCACTTCCAATAAAAATAAATCGCTTCAAAAATTTTAGTTCCTCACTTTCTCTACTTGATTAATTCTTATTAATCACTCATTTACTATTCTCATTCGGAACTCTTTAAGCGGTGTCCTAGGAGATAATCAGTTTCTCAGAAGCCATCAAAAAGACAACCCTACCCAACCCAGTATCCAAGTTTTTAAACTTGAAAAATGTCGTTATTCATAACAAAACGATTCAGGTACGCCGTGTCTTAAATCACTAGCGGTTACAGAAATCACAAGCGTGTGAGACGTACCCCTTACCCCACTGAAGAAATTTCATCGGTTAGCGAAAAATTCCTTCTTACGGGCACGACCAAAATATCAAGATAGACTTTCTCTAGCGGTTACAGAAATCACAAGCGTGTGAGACGTACCCCTTACCCCACTGAAGAAATTTCATCGGTTACCTCAAACTTTCCTTCTTACGGGCACACCAAAATATCTAGATAGCCTTTTTCTAGCGATTACAGAAATCACAAGCGTGTGAGACGTACCCCTTACCCCACTGAAGAAATTTCATCGGTTACCGAAAAATTCCTTCTTACGGGCACGACCAAAATATCAAGATAAACTTTCTCTAGCGGTTACAAAAATCACAAGCGTGTGAGACGTACCCCTTACCCCACTGAAGAAATTTCATCGGTTACCTCAAACTTCCTTCTTACGGGCACGACCAAAATATCTAGATAGCCTTTCTCTAGTGGTTACAGAAATCACAAGCGTGTGAGACGTACCCCTTACCCCACTGAAGAAATTTCATCGGTTACCTCAAACTTTCCTTCTTACGGGCACGACCAAAATATCTAGATAGCCTTTCTCTAGCGGTTACAGAAATCACAAGCGTGTGAGACGTACCCCTTACCCCACTGAAGAAATTTCATCGGTTACCTCAAACTTTCCTTCTTACTGGCACGACCAAAATATCAAGATAGCCTTTCTCTAGCTGTTACAGAAATCACAAGCGTGTGAGACGTACCCCTTACCCCACTGAAGAAATTTAATCGGTTACCTCAAATTTTCCTTCTTACTGGCACGACCAAAATATCAAGATAGCCTTTCTCTAGCGGTTACAGAAATCACAAGCGTGTGAGACGTACCCCTTACCCCACTGAAGAAATTTCATCGGTTACCTCAAACTTTCCTTCTTACGGGCACGACCAAAATATCAAGATAGCCTTTCTCTAGTGGTTACAGAAATCACAAGCGTGTGAGACGTACCCCTTACCCCACCAAAGCAATTTCATCGGTTACCTCAAACTTTCCTTCTTACTGGCACGACCAAAATATCAAGATAGCCTTTCTCTAGCGGTTACAGAAATCACAAGCGTGTGAGACGTATCCCTTACCCCACTGAAGAAATTTCATCGGTTACCTCAAATTTTCCTTCTTACTGGCACGACCAAAATATCAAGATAGCCTTTCTCTAGCGGTTACAGAAATCACAAGCGTGTGAGACGTACCCCTTACCCCACTGAAGAAATTTAATCGGTTACCTCAAACTTTCCTTCTTACGGGCACGACCAAAATGTCAAGATAGCCTTTCTCTAGTGGTTACAGAAATCACAAGCGTGTGAGACGTACCCCTTACCCCACCAAAGCAATTTCATCGGTTACCTCAAACTTTCCTTCTTACGGGCACGACCAAAATATCAAGATAGACTTTCTCTAGCGGTTACAGAAATCACAAGCGTGTGAGACGTACCCCTTACCCCACTGAAGAAATTTCATCGGTTACCTCAAACTTTCCTTCTTACGGGCACGACCAAAATATCAAGATAGCCTTTCTCTAGCTGTTACAGAAATCACAAGCGTGTGAGACGTACCCCTTACCCCACTGAAGAAATTTCATCGGTTACCTCAAACTTTCCTTTTTACGGGTACGACCAAAACATTACGGTTTTCTATGCCTTCAGCAATATTGACCGCCCCACCTTCTGTCCTAGTTAAATAAACTCTTCGCACTGCATCACACTTTTTAATAGGAGCACTAAACTTTTTCACTGATAAGTGATTTAATAGGCATAAATCCACAAACTTTTGTGTGTAGCAAATATCGGTCATATTATAAAAGTAGGTGTGGTAAAGATCAAAAGTTCACCCTTTCAACCTTCAGCATATCGCTATAAAGTCCCTAACCTTAGTCATCCATCAACAAGCGACCGTAATCCTTAATGAGGTAAACATTTGCTACATGAAAGAAATTTGGGTGCCATAAAATAAAAATTATAATAACATATTTTTGGTTGTAAGTGTCTGGAATGGTGCTAGCTGAGAAAGGTCCTAATTAAAAATAAACACTGCATGCAAACGTTCCGCTTACGCATTCCAGGGGGAAATTTAACAGACCCAGAATTATCAGCTAGAGAAACTTTTTTGCATAGGGAATTCCAGGAGTTTCTCAACTTACCCAGTAATGAATTCAAATTTAAGACCATTCCGCACCCCTAAGCCCCAAAATAGTACGTCCGTGTGTTGGGCATTTTCTATGTAAATTTATGTTTTTGCCGTAATCTGATATTCCGCGCCCGGCAGCCAAATTCTGTTTTTTTTCGAGATTTGGTGGTTGGGTATTCCGTTAAAATAAAGATGTTGCCCTTTCGCTTACCGGACTTCTACTTCAAGTTCGCGAAATCGGAAGGCAAGAAAGCCAAATAACTAAAGCGTAGGCCAGTCACTCTTGTCAAATGATTTGTCAATAATATGATGGCTTAATTTTATATTTACAATTGCTACTCGATTGTTCAACACATCGAAAATCAGCACACTTACCTTCGTGCTGTTCAAGGTTGTGGAAACATAAAACAAGTCTTCTTGTGATACGGAGTACCTGTAGCCTGCCTCCAATGTTAAATGTTTTGAATTTAGGTTTAAAATTGAAGCCTGAAGCAGGTTTGAATCGATTTAAAAACTTTCCCTGTTTTTTATGGAACCTGGTGACCTCACACAAAGCAAACGGAACAATCTTTTCAAAATGTGGTCTTTCTTGTTTTAAATCACATTGTTTTCTTTTGTTAGAATTAAAATTCATAGCAAGAACACGGTTCAACGAGAGCCTCGACTGAGGGAAATGAAAAATGCCTGAAGGAAAACAGAAAAAACAATTGTCCTGCATACTTCAAATTTCGTTTGAATTTAGCTTTGACTTGAAGTTGGCTCGAAAAGTGGATAGTTGGTTTCAGGGCCTCGGAGAAGTGGGCAGGGGCAGATTACCGCAGGCATTGAGGTACGAGGGCCCCCAAAAAGTTATAAAAAGTACCTTACAATATCAAGATCAATAAAATTACAGTTTTAATGGCATCATCGCGAATTGATCTCCCTTTAAGCGCTATGCCCCAAAAAAGCCACCGGCGGGCAAGGCTGATCACCGCCCCAGTCACTCAATTACGGATATTTTTGGTCCAAAAAGTTATACTTTGCGGATTCAAATATTTTCAGGTCAAAAAGCTACTATTGTTCTTGAGAGGGAGATGGGTCGAAGCCAAAATTTTTAAAAATAATTTGTTGCCACTCAAAGATACCAGCGGTTCCCAATGGTTTTTACATTGGTCAAAAATTTTCTTCACCTTGCATTTCTACGAGCTTTGCTTCTTCGTACTATCACAGCCGAGGGGCAAATCACTCTAAGAAAATCTCGTACACCTTTTGTGAAAATCCTTTTGTTTTATCTGAAAATCCCCAGAAATTCTTTTTGTTTTAGGCAAAAACTCCTACGCTATTTGCAAGAGTGAATCGCCCCTCGATCACAGCAATACAATACAATACATCATGGATAATTTGGAATTTAAATTGTTGTCCGTATTTCATCTCCTGATCTTCCAATCCAAATTCAGTCACTGTTTCAAACAATGTGACTTGTCGCTTTCGTAATAAAAGACAACAGCATTCACTGAAAGGTTAAAAACCACAGACGAAGGAGGCCTCAGTCGGTACCAATTGCTATAGCTGCACGCACTAATATGTAGGTAAGGATACGTATGACAAAACGGTCCATAGTTATGGAGAGTTAAAATCTCCCAGCCAACCAAACGGAGCCGTTCCAAAATTCTCGTGAAAAGGAGCCCTTGTTGTATCTTCGTAAAAAAATTTAATTCTATAGCTGGAAGGGATGCTGCCACATATTGCTGAAAGGTGAAGAAGAACTTTGGTCTCTACATACTTTATATTTTCATAAAAAATAGGAATTGAGAAGGTATATATGCTAAGAAAAAGAGAGGCACAAGGGCCAGGTTCAAGTGCGGCCTTGGTCATGTCATTCGCTCGCATTTTCTCTAAGCAAACGTAATATTTTTCTCGTTTTTTACGTTCGATATGATTATAAAGTGAAGAAGTGAAAGAAAATGGAGCATAGAATGGTTAAAACACAGTTTGGTGACATGGAGGCAAATCACTGAGGTTGTGAATACCTGTGATAGCAGTAAAAACAAAGATTTAGACATAGATTTAGTACCATCTTGAAGGCAAATTCATCCCTAAGTAACTTACCGGATGAATCGTGGGCCTCTTTTGACACCAATCCGGCTTCTGATGTGCTTTCTGGTTTCGGATTGTCGCTTGCTCCCAGGTCAGAGTTCGAATGAGCATGAGACTGGTTGTATATAGCCGTTACAGTCTCGTGAGATTTCATTCTACGGTGTTGCTTCTTGAAACCCTTTTTTCCTTCGCTGACAAGTCCGGACACGTCGAAATCAGCTGACCGGTTTCTATTATGTCCCTTTAAAGATTTCAGTGCAACCGGTTCGATTTTGAAACCCTCCGGTTTCTGTTCACTCACTTCTTTGCTTCTGGGTGGTAACGGAGGAAGATCGGTTCTGTGTACGAGCAGCGCAGGTGCAGACTTCTTTCTTTGCACTAAATAGCAAGATGAAAATTAACAGTTAACATTTTATAGGCTACTTATTGACAAGTGGAATGGTGAGCTTTATTGGGTCTACACAATAGCTGAGATCTTAAGTTATAGGCTTTAACCAGGAATCTAGAAGCGGTTACTCCAATCCAAAATTCAATCAGTGACGTAACACAGCTTAGGATTAGTTCGACAGCGAAAAGTACCCTCTAGGTATTTTTATATCCATGTTTCTATGACTTCGCTCAAGTTTACTTAGTTTTCAACAACTTATTAAGTTTTTTAACTGAAGTATGTTACCCTGCTCCTCTTAGTAAGCGAGTACAATTATCTTTACATGTTGCTATTTTGTTCATCATGCTAAACACCATCACATGAGACTCTCTTGCAGTGCATCCGCAAACAGAGGCCTCATTTCAGCTCTAATACCACGGGCCCCAGGTGCCTCTTTTGAGCTTCCGTTACGCCACTCAACCTAGCTTGCATTTCCAGTAATACCTCCATAACATTTGTTCCATTTATTTGTTACAGTATTACAGGTACTTCAATGAAACTACATTTAAGAATGAAAATTGAAACAGTGAATCGATTTAAAGAGATTTTATAAATGATGATCATGATTGTTGACGATTAATGATTATGATATTTCATTCGGTGATTTTTTGTTGTGATTGTCGATTACTGAAGAAGTTCCCGAAGGCGTATAGTAAGGCTTAGAATATTGGAATATAACTTAAGCCCTGGCAAGCCCCCGAATGGCTTAATTACCCTTGTAATTTAAGAGTTTACTATGTATGATTCCTTGCTTTAGCTTTCTTGCTTTCTTGCTGTTGAGATTTGTCAACGTTGTTTGTCCGTTTCGGAGTTTTTCAATATAAAAAAAACCGTTAATATTTCATGAAGGTGAAGATAAACAGATTGAAGGTTTGTTAACGAAATCCACCTTTAAATCATCTGCAAGAATAAAAGGATTTATATTTTGTTGCAGGTGTGAAATTGATTATAGTTATTGTTATCATGAAAGGGCATGTAGCAGTATGTAAATGGTTGCATTTCTGTCACCATGGAGTGGAAGACAAAGTGAATGCCTGGTGTAACGCAATCACATTCTGTAGGACAGGGAGGAGGAGTGCTTAAATGAAAAGAGAAACTTTTTTGAATAAGAATTACAATGCAGTACAATTTCGGGGGCCGAAGTTTTTGTATGCGAATGTTAGAGATGCCGGTTCTGCAACTTTTTGTCTCGCACCTCGTCGCAGGGCCTCCGACGAAGGTGGGCTTGCCCCCCCCCCCCAATTCAAAATCTTTTGTTATGAGTGTTAAATTGTCCCTTGGCCCCCCCCCCACTTTTCGACCTGTGTCGGAGCCCATGCGTCGTACCATTTACTTACTGTTCCGAGGTCGGTAAATGAAAATCATCAATGGTGTGATGTTGTCAAAAGTCTGACCAACTTGGTGTAACAATGAGACTCCATGAACTTGGTGGTATTTCAATGAGAATACATTCAATAATAAAAGTTGAAACAGTGCATCGATTAAAAGAGCATTTCTTGGCAGACACTAACTGGACAATTATACGAAAAACTATAATATGGTGACCAGATAAATTTAAGACACTTTTCAAATGGGGTCAAATGCCGGGAAGAAAAGATGGGGTAAGCAAGGTAACACAGTGCTCGGGGAAGTTGGTTGTCCTCATGAAATTGCACAAACTTCTCCATACCGTCATAGAAGGCCAATGCAGTCAGAGCACTAAGACAAATTTTTGCGGGGCGTGCGCCCTAAAATGGGAACAGTCTTAACCGACCGATACAGTAAATTACATTCATTTTTTATAAGAAACTGGCTATAAGAAACGAGTTCTGGACAGTCAGAAAAAATTAAGAAACTTGAGTACTCGAAGCAAAAAAATCAAGAAACTATTAAATCGTGATAAAACTGAAAACAACGAAATTTTGTAAAATCCAAGGACATGATTGCCCTGATGGCTTAGAAATTAAGACACAAGGGATGAAAATATACTTCCCACGTCTAAATACAGCGTCAGAACGGAAGCGAATCTCTTGACGTGAAAAAAGGTCACTAACATTTCATAACATAATTAATGACATCATAATTAAGAAACTCTCAAGAAACAGTGAGTATTGAAATTTCCAGAACATTAAGAAACTGGAGTACTCAACATCGACCTTTGTTTCTTATAAAAAAAATGAGTGTAATACTAGCCATGTCTCCTCTATCATGCATTTTGGGGTATTTTGCCCCATAAACCTCTTTGTAACCCTAAGCGTAACTTGGACCAACAGATATCTCAAAATATCTCAAATTATCTCAGTTTTCTATCTCAAACTAGCAGATTTCTTGGCTAATTTATGGCAGCTTTCTTCTGACAATTGCATACATTTGATACATTGAAAACCAAAATATTACACCAAACTTTGTATAAAAGAAATAAACAAACAACATATTCCATGCTGCGAAACACATTATCGATAATGTTGTTAGTAAAATTGGCAGCCGAATGCTGGCGAACTGTCGACTTGTTCTTGTAAAATGAAGTCAATGGCTGGTAATTTTCTAAAAACAAACGTGTCCTTATCTGCTCGTTGTAAAAAGACTTTTCAAACAAAACGTTCTATCTTGCAAAACAATGTTCAAAACAGCTTTTTTCAAATAAAATACATAATCTTAGAAGCGAAACCTTTCTACGTGGGGCCTATACGTTGGCGGATTTAACAATTGTCATCGTTTAGGGCTGCGGCAAGAAGCAAAACAAGAATTGAAAATAACTCACCACGCCTTCATGTCAAAACTCCTTTGAGAAGAGTGTACGAACCCCAAAATCACACATAACACAAACAAATTGTTAAAGATTTGTTTCCCGCCCAATCAAGTTCAACCAGTTCGCAAATCAACTAACAAAATTCATCCAACTAAAAGTCAGGAAATAACGATCCACACTGTGTGCAAGATTCAAAACACCAAAAATATGCCAAGCTTATCCAATGCAATCAGCTCACGTATTGCGGTTTCGAATGCAGAGCGAATTCAACACATATTTAACACTGCACAACCTTAGTTTAAAAAATTTCTCCAGAACACCTGTGCCAAGGCAAAGCTGACAATAAAACAGAACCAACCGTGAATGAAATTTTACTATTAAGCATGGGAGATAAAAAATCACCATGGACTACAGGTTTTCCTGATTGATCTCCAACAGGTAAAAGATGCAATCAAAACAAACCAGCCATCAAGACTTGACAGGATTACCGTATCTACCGTTTAAAAATCTGATCATAAACCACAGGCTTTTATTTACACTCATATAAAAGATGAGTTGAAATCTTGGGATTCCAGCTGATCCTCAGTCTGGGTTTTATGATAAAATTGAAAACGACATATTGTACCGGCCTTTAAATTATGAAAGAGATGCAGCCTCGCTTAAAATCATGCAATGATAATGCCAACTAATGCAATCTAAGAAACTAGTATTTAACATCATGGCCTAAATAAGTAATCACCACGCTGTTCAAAACATGCACAAGAAGATAAGCGTCAAGGTCAGATGCGGATAGTGCAAAATTTCTTGCAGGAGTTTTTCAAAACACTGAGCCTCGATTTTTTTACAAGTTTCTAAAGCGGAACCGTTGGTAAATATTCATAAGGAATGGAAATTGAAAAAAAATTCGATGCCAAAGTGCATTATACTTGAGACACATAAACTATAAAACCCAAGACTATATTTTGACTTAATAGTATTGAAAGTCTGAATAGCCTAGTAATAATTCTGGACTGATTCGTGAATTTGAGCACTCTAGAGCCTCAAAAATCTCTAGTTTTCAAGATGTGAAGCGGATTAGAGGGCTCTCCCGTTTCTGAAGGGAAACGTAATGACAATTAAAAAAATTCAGAAACCTTACCTGTAAAAGGTTTCGGAATTGGCGGTGGAGGACCTTCTCGTCTGTCAGGAATTTCAATAAAAAACCTTGATTTTCCAACATCCATCGTCGTATCTCTTTGGGACTGCCTCGAGCCATGGCACTCAAAAGAAATATCTTTACTTACTACGGTATCAACCAAAACTTTTTTTTCTCGATTTTTATTTCTATTCTTTTTCTTTTTACTAAAATCAACTGAAGCATATAATTGGCTGACATCAACTTCCTTCTGGGAAAAACTATCGATAGGGGTATCATAAATTTTTGATTCACTGTCAGTATCATGCGAAAGAGGCTGTGATGGACCTCGGTAGGTATCATCAATATCACCAATTACCGTCTCCCGCATTTGACCGATGTTTACGAAGGAGTCCGCATTGTCTCCGGGCAGCGGAATTTCGCTATCAAAGGTTGCAGTTTCGGCACTATTCTTAACGTTTAACTCGACAGACGCGTATTCTTGATTACCATACATGCCTACGTCATCATCCCATTCGTAGTTGTCCGTTGGGCTTTTCACTCCAACGCTATCATAACTGTCTTTATCTTCACACTGTGTCTCTATTGGAGCAGAAACCGCCCCGTGTTCGCTTATAATCATTGGCCGGAATTCAATATCCGCATAACTATAGTTTCCTGTCTTCGACTGTTTGGACCCGAGCACTCTTGGTAGTTCTGGACAAGGAACTGGGGGACGCCTTGCAACAGCTTTTCGTGCAAACTGCTCCGACATTTTAAGGTCTTGTAACTTGCTTTTCACTCCAACTAAAACCTTGTATGTACTGTCGCTGCTAGCGCTTTCAAAACTGCTATTTCTGAATCTAAGCTCAACCCCATTGACAATGGAAGACTTTGAACCAGTAGTCAAGTCTGAGGCATATCTGGTCTGTTCAGTATCTTTTCCTGTTTGTCACAAAACAAAATAGATGTTATTTCGATGAACAAATATTTGCTTGAAACACAAGAGTTTAACAAAAACAGAGCTACTACCGAGTTTAACAAAGATTGAACTGCTGTGCTGTACTTGGTCCAGCAGCTCGGCCTTGACACAATTTTCAAATCTCATTTAATTTAGTGTAGACACTTTTTAAAGCTTGATTGGTCAACAAAAAGTTTAGAGTGAAAAACCATACATCCAGAAGTATCATCGTATGTAAATTTAAGCAGATGCAAAATGGAGATGGTTCTCCTTCTTTGTCAAGAGGGAGGTAAACGAATCAAACTGCATGGTGAAAAGGAATTTGGAGAAGAACCTTTCAAAAAAGATCTCGGTACCGCAAAATTTGAAAATAGCACGGAAGAGCGGAAACATATCTTACTAAAGTGCTTTTCGTCCGACACTCGTCAGAGTAAAAAGGGCGGACCGGATAGTGTCTAAAGGTGAGCAGAAAATTTTCATATGTACGGATAGGGATTAACGTGAGAGAACGTAAAGCACCTTTTATTGGTTCTTTGCTGTTGACCAATCGCAGCCGCTTGTCTACACCTTTAACAACATTTTTCAAGACGAAAGTGAAAAGGGGTAGAAGGCGAAAGTTAAAGCTGGCAAGTTTGCTAGAAAATCGCACGTTTGCTGCTGCCAATAGCAATCTTTGCATTCTTTTTCAAAATAACACCCTGATTTCTTCTTCACGAGAAGGATAGAAAATGTTAGTATTCGTCCAAAGCAAAAATCTGGGAAATAGCTGGATTTGGTGTTTGATTCTATAACAATATGATAACAGCATGCGAAGACTCAATTGCAAGATTTTCTTATGCTTTTGCCGACAACCTCATCTAATTTTCTATTTTCTTATGGTGCGAGATTTCGCTAAGTAAAATAGAGCATTATTATATCGAGAATATCAATTGCAATGAGAGTTATTAATAACCCTTCAGTTAAGGATCGAGTTTTAATTCATTCACCTATAAGTTTCTTCTCATTTCCAAATTGTGTAAGCTGTTGATTTGATGAAAGGTCCTTCAACAGGAAAGAATTCATTTACTCAAATAGAAACATTTTCACATGGATACAAGGTACAAGGACACACAAAAGGAGAGTAATGAAATAAACAAAGATTCGTATTGGCTAAGTTCTCAACAACTATTAACTTGATGGAAAGGATACAATTTTAGAGCACGCATCTCATTCGAGATAGCCAAAAAGATTATTACGTCATAAATAGAATCAATAAACGACGAGATGCTATCTTTTATAAGCCACGATTTTAAGCCTGGAAAATTCATTCGACCTTCAAATTTCTTTTCTACTGAAGCAATGAAAATCGGTTACACAATCTGTAAGCGTTAGGGTAAATTTGCGAAGGCCATGTGAGCATTGTAAATGAGGTGACGTAGGAACACGTACTTTCAAAAGATACTTAAAAATCACATTACTCCTATCTTCTCATCTTTAAAAGGTGATGTTTTTTGAAACCCTGTCGTCGCAAAAACGAGCTCTTTCTTATCTGAATGCCTTATTACGTCATTAAATTTAGTTTTATTCAAGTGACCTACCATTTTTATGGATATCTCGCACAGCACAAAAAACAGCGATCTAAGTGCCATTCTTGATACGCAGGTACATTTTAGCAAAACAATTACAACTAATTATGCCAGAGTTCTCCTTCTTTTATGCTAGTGACACTTTGGCAAGAAGTAACTTTCTAGCTTCAGTCAAACCATTTGTGCCAATATGGAATGAAAATAGGACTGAAAATGTGCTGGTTTGTTGTGTTTAGGCCGTAGCAAGCCTTCTTGCATTGAACAGGTGATTCCTTTGAACTATATACTTAAATTCATGCATCATATCAAGAAACAATACGAAGGCTTCATTTCTTACTGGTTTATGAAACGCTTCTTTTGTTAAGATGGCAAACTAATGAATATTGTAATTCACAGTCATGGGGGACACGTAAAGCCTGCCTTTCGAAGGTTGAAAAACTCTCAGATGCTTTCGAGGTCTGCAGCCTTCTTTGAGAGTTCAAAGGTTATAGAAAAGATTTTCATCACGAGAGAAAAACTTGAATTACTAGTTAAGAAGCAAGGAGAAATAGCAAGGGTCAATGGGAAAAAAGTGGGAGGAACAGGCATTTTTCGGGCAAAAATCGAGCAGGAGCCTTCACCAAAAACTACATTTCGAACATGTTCAGAAATTCTCTGAGCTGAGTAAAGTGGCCGTAATTATGAGCGCTTAAGAGGATTGTCGAAGAAGAAAAAAAGAAAATGGCTTTTATGCCCGGCGGGTCCACTTTTATTGTCAAGTGTCTGAATATCTCTGTAAAGGGGTTTTAATTTTGTCATATATCTAGGACATAGAGAATAAAAAAATTGGTGTATGATATGGGAATCTTAATAAAGTTTCTAATTTTTCTTTCTTTGACCTATTGTGACCTATTTCTTTGTTCAATTGTTTGTTTTTAAAGAAAAAGGGTATAGATTTTCTTTGGTTTCAAAGAAAAGGGGAATCAAATATCAGAGATAAGGGTCAGTTTTCTAGACCGTCAGACACGGGTGCTTACATTTGATAGTGTGAGATGACCCACCGGGCTATTATGCCGGTCAGTGGCGTGGTGGCAGGGGGGGCAGGGGGCTCCTGAATATGGGCGCAAATTGAGATAAGGGGGCGCCGAGACTGACTGCTTGTAACATTTGGCTAGGAACATCAAAACTGATCGTACATGAGTAGAACAGTTCGTTGTAACTTGCTGTGAACAATATAATAAAACGTGCGATTCTACAATCGAAGCACGTTTCGTCGTGTCAAATGTTTTCGTGTTAACTTTGTACGTGGCTTCATGTTTAGCACGCCAACTAACGAAGATTTACGTATGCCAAAAATGTTATCTATAAGTTTGCACGCGGAACGCCAAAAAAACCTGAGTGTACGCCGAAGATCTTCGGGCCAAGTACATGGAATGTACCCTGGCAATCAATACAGCAGCTTCTTGTTATTAACATCGATGTGAACCAAAGGTCACCCTTTCTTTCTTTCCCCAACGCATGAATCCTCCCCCCCCCCCAAATTTGTAAAAAAAATCCAAATTCATATTTTTCATAGCATCGTCGAACTGTCTATTCTGAGCGGTATAGTAATTTGTTAAATTTTAGTACTTGAGATGCATTTTTAGCCATTCTAGAAGGTTTGATTTCAAAAATTTTCTTTCGCCTCGGACCCAACCATGGTGGGTCCTCCTGTGTCACTAAACTTGATTCTTAGCCCCCCCCATATAATATAATAAACGAGTTTAAGGGGGTACCAGCTTGTACGAAACATCAGTGTAATTGAAATAGAACGTCTTTTGATTAGTATTTTATGTTTTGCCTACCATATTTCCTCAAAAATAGGCCGAGCTTTGGACAAAAAGCCAAATTAAAATTGGATATTTTACCGCACCACGATCGTAAAGGTAAAATGTTAGGATTACATTATCTTTTCCATTCATACTCGCATTTTTAATCAAAAATTTTTTCATGAAATTTTGAATTCAAGTTTCAAAAATTGATTACTCTTCTAGAAACACGTGCTTTTATGTAACCGCGATATATAGATAGGGCGCAAAAATCCACTTGGCCACCCCAGGGAAAACATAGCCACCCCGCCACTGATGCCGGTGTAATAGTCAGCACGAACCTCTGAAACATCTTATTTTAGTCAGCACGAACAAGTGTCAGTTTGTCGATTTTGCACTGAATGGCGTCAGAAAGGAATTTTTGTTGGTTTCTACAAAGACAATCTTCAGCGGTTGTAAAAATAAGTTAAAGACGGGCTTTTGTAATGGATAAAGTCTTGGGAGAAATCGAAATCCATGCGCAATTTTGTGGCAATGACCAAGAAATTTTGTGTACTTTGGGCAATGGCGTAAAGGAGGCATCTGGGGCCCTAAGGAAAAGTTGCTACGGGACCTTTACTTACAGACTGCAAGGGGATCCGTTCTAAGGGTATAGAGCATGTCAAACACAATAACAAAATGTAAGAATGACAATTTTCTTTTGCTGAGTTATAGAGTTTCAGTTGAAGAAGTTTAGAAGTTTTTGAAAGTTGTTTGACCTTGAGCAAAGTTTTAAAAATATCTACGTAAAAGCATCTTCGGTCCCTTTTGGTCAGGGTCCCTTAGTTATCAAACCAAGGTGCCCTAAACGGGTTACGCCACTGACATTAGGGAATGCAAGCGTGAATGCTAGCCCTTCGACAGAAATCATCAGAAAGGTTTGCTTCTTCTGCCAAATAGATTCTGCAAATCAAATTAGATCAAGCAAAAAGTGTGTGAATTGCTGAAAAAGATGCATGATGATGACAAGATTTCGGACTTAGTTCGACATTTTGCTGAAGTGATGCAAATCCTGGCCACAATTCCGGCAAGATCATGTTCAGCGAAAAGGACATTAAGCTCACTGAGAAACATAAAAACATATCTTCGTAACACCATATCTTCGTTATAACACAGCAAAAACTTGACAATGTCGCCCTCTTTAATATCGAACGTTAAAGTTCATATCATGTTCTCAAAAAAGACATCGATAAATTACCGATATATCTGGTCGCCATCGTGAGAAAGATTCGTATTTCTTTTAACGAAAACTCGAAAGCTATTTTGTAATGTGTCATGTTTTTAAAAATGCTAATTAGTTAACCTCATTTCAATGACGTTGCTAATCATTGCTCGATCAATATTAGAAGCTTTTATGTGTTAGAGTATACTCCGTAAAAATATGGACATTAGTTTTTTTCGGGCAAAAAATTTAAGCCCCCCTACGCATCTGAACTCACCCCGTACGCCTATGTTTGGAGGGGGGCATATTTTCATGCTTTAACGACAAAAAATCTTAAACTGGTAAAGCTGACCTGCTATACCTATAAATAAAACCGATGCACGACTAAATCACAGTTTTTTAAATATTCGTGAAATAAGCGACTTATTGTAGCTTTGAGAGAGTGCCCTTGCAATATTTCTTGAAACATTTCAGACCCAGCAAAACTAGACAAAATTGACACACAATATCTAAAAATAGGCTGTATTGCAACAATATCAGCTAGTTGTTGCAATACAGATGTTGCTCAAAATTTGTTGTACTAATAATTAACCATTTGTAAGAACTTTCGTGTGATTTTGTCGTGCCACGCAAATTTATTCTAATATGGCAACATTATCAACAGCGATGTCATTCAGTTCTTGTGAAACTACCCACTAGAAAGTCATTTTATCTCTGCCTTTCCCAACACGGGATTGAGATGATTCAAAGCGAGATTAGGAGAAAAAGGAATCCAAAAAAGCAAACGGGGGGAAAGCTGAGCTTGGATAAATAGGAAAATAGATAAACAAGGTCCTAGAATTCCTCTTTTTAAATCAAGAAGGCTCGAAATTTTTGGTTACTTCAGACGGATAAAAACTTGTTTTCTAAGCCAACAAGTTTAGCCACAGCTTCAGATGCATGTGGAACTTTGCCAAAAAATGCAGCAAAAGTCACTAAACAAAGTCATCTAGTTAGCCACGCCTTTACAAACCATATATTGTTAAGCCTGTGATGCCTTAAGAATGCTTTCAAAGGCCAGGCAAACTCATTCACTATTTGGCAATTACAAGGTGCAGTCTTTCTCACCCCTGTACCATGCTTAAGGGAGCTGCACTCTTATAGGGAACATCAAAGATTTCCAAAAGAAGTTGTTTTCTAGGGGGACATGACAAAATGCAAATGGACTTGAAGACAAAATTAGTTTAAAATGTCTTTCTGGTATGAAGCAAATGCCCCAGTTAACATTAATTGATCACAATATGAAATTTATGGTTAATGAGAAAATTGAAAGAAAAGCTTAAATTATAAATGATGTTTTCATGTTATATATTCACTTGGAATGAAGAAAATTCGATAGCAAGAAAAGCACATGCACAAGTGACCAGATCTCTGATATGACATAGACAACTTTCAAAAATTCGACCTTTCAAGAGAAAATGAATTTTTTTCTAATTATCAAACAATTGCCTAAACAGGACAAGCAAGAATACAGGGAGAATTTTCTTAACTAAGTGAGCAACTGACTATTGGCAAGACTTCTAAGGAAATAAAGAGAAGGAATGATGCTTATGTATATGAAGCTTATAGCTGCATAAGACAAAAATAGCATTGACAAAGCGGACATAAACTATAGCATGTCAAATTCTTGAAAGGGCTAACCCACAAAAACACAGTATTTTGATCTCTGCTAGTTCACCAAAGGTGTTCTAAGATTTGATGCATTTATTCAAAATGCCTCTACTAGGGTAGATTTCTAAAGAAAAGTGGGATTTGCATAGACAGCCTGCAAGCTTTCTTTTCTTTCTTACTTTTCTTTATAAAACATTACAGTATCTTTTCCTTATTTCAAATGTATCTACTAGGCTTTTCATTTTTAAGAATTTATTTTTTTTGTTCATAGTTACAAGATCAGGTACTAGTCCTTTGTTTATTTTCAGCAGCCAGCCTACTGGTCTGTTATAACTTTCCAATAACCAAAACCATCACTTCTGTTGATTATTTGCCAGTGACATGCAAATTACATACCTTCTTTCAAACCAAGAACTATAGTCATCAACTGAAGTTGGACGTCATTCTGAGCATGTGCAACTACTTATATAGCACAAACAAAAAGTAAGACAAAAATGGGGCTGAGACAAGTAGTTGTATTGAAAGTGATAACAGTTAAAAAGATGCAAGTGCAGTGAACACAGTGAACTTGCTAAACATGGTGAAGATGAACACCCTAGGCAGGTTTCAATATGGAGTTCACTATGCATTCCATGCAGAACTATTAACCTGCAAGTGTTAAAGCATTATGTGATCTTGGACTTTTAAAAATTATGTCTATTTGAGCAGACAAGTCTATTATTTTCTTTGATAAAGAATAAAGGAAGTGCTCCTTTTAGATTAAATTTGTTTCCTTTTTTGCCAGAACCTCTGGGTCACACTGAGAAATGCCCTTCCAAAAGTCATGCCTCTCTTAGTTATACATACAGTATTTACATAATTTCCCTATTTATGTAGAAGAAGGAAAAGTAAAAAGATTTCAATAAAGAGAACTATAATGTTAATGAACGACGCAAGCCTCAATCGAACAATTCAAAATGGAAGGGTTCCAGCAGGCTTCCTAAAAAAATACAAAAGTTCTTTCCTCTACAAGCATTAAAAAGCCCATACTGGCATCCTAGAAATGAACCTTTGATACTGATGTACTGTTTGGAGCTGCTGTGGCAATGCTGAAATCATTAGAGTGCAGATGCTTCAAAACAGATGTAAGAATGATATCAGTTGGTGGCTAATGATGCTCTTAGAGAACACAAAACCAATGGTCCACAAATCCATATATTATCATAAGCCACTTCCTGTTTCTGAAAAAAATTTCTTCCTACTTTCACTTCCATGTCTCTAAATATCTGATAACATTTGTATATTGGCCAACATTTTTTTATGTTTTAAGATAAAAAACAATTAAAAAAGAATTTATCATTGTGTGCAACATCTGCCACTGGCAATAAATCAACAAGTAAACTTGCTCTTCAAAAGCAATTCAGTAATTTCAATTATTGGTTCATTACTTTTTGACACAGCTTACTAAAGGTAACAAAAATTGGCCAAAGAGGGCCCTTAGGCAAAGGAAGATTTTGCAACAGAACCACCAGTAATAAATGACTGGTAACATTCACAAGGCTGTTGATGACTTGAAGGGTACTTTGGTAGATAACTGGGATGTAGCCTTTGATCATATAACCAAAAAATCTTGAAATATTGACAAAGACCCAAAAAATGTTTCATTTTCAACTAAAGTTTTTTAAATAGACACTTACTGGTTTTTAAGAAAACATTCTTAACAAAAATGTTACATTCAGTATTTCTTGCTTTTTGCTTTCTTTTTTCCAGATGAGCTCTGAAGAGATCTGCTCAGCTAAAGAATAAGTTACATATGAGCTGAATATCGTTGCTTACAAAAACAATCCGATGACAGTGACAGTGACACTGTCAATCGACAGTGACACCATAGTGACTGTGAAACTTTAAAGATATAGGAAACATTTCTGCAGAAGGGAAATTTGAGTATCAGACAGGCTAATGTATTTATTACACATTCCTCTTCCATTCTATATCGAGGAAAGAGTTAAAATTTAGGAAATAAAACAAAAAATACTTCCTTTTTTCCGACAGCCTTAGGCCCTATGCAAGCTACAAACTTATAGGCAAACATTCAAATATCAAAACTTACCCTGGTTTCAACAAGAACCACCAATAACGCTTTTAGCAGAATATGTCACCAAAATATCACCACTTTCAGGGAGAATAGCGGCATTTCGTTGAGCTATTATACAAACAAACAAGTGTATTTACAAAAGCGAAATTCTCTGGTCTCTATGTCAATCTGAAGTGGATCTCTAATCTTCCTTTCATTATTTTCAGCTTTGTAATTGTTCTCTATTCATTAAGAAAGACACGCAAATAATAGTTTTTTTCCAAAGAGAGACGCTCAAAAATAGCTATTTTCCTGGTCTGTCAACAAGAGTCATTTGTCAAGACGGCTCTGATGGCATGTGACATCCCTGTTCGGAGGGACCATCCAAGTGCGCAGCGGAAAAGCCCTGCTGCTGTTGTTGTCTTTGAGATGGGAAAGGAGGAGCGATCAGTGAATCAGTTGGAAGAATATTTTGCCTATTCTCCCAGGCACTGCAGGACCCATTTCACCGGGGGGCGGGGTTGCCATGGCCTCCCCACTTCTCTGCAAAGCAAATTATTTCAAAGCTGCAATAAAAGGTGAAAGAAACCTTGACCCCCTACTTCAGTTAGGGCCTTGATCCCCCACGTTAAACTTCGTGGCCTGGGCTCTGCACTGCGAAACGTTCAAAAAAGTTGGGGAGAGGCTAAAACCGAATAAAAAAGGCTTTACTTTTGGCACTTTCCAGGGCCTAAAAATAGCAAATTACCCACTTTTAGGGATTTTGAGAAAAAAATACAAAGTTTAAAGGTTTATGAAATCAACTGTAAGCAGGATGGAAGAGACTGAAAAAACGACGTTTAACTTCAACAGACATATTACATTATGTAGCAAACAATTCTCGACAGTTTGATCCATATTTAGGGATTTCTTCCCACCCAACATAGAGTTAGTCCCCCGCCCCCTTCTCCGTTGTGTCTGACTCTATCCTTCGCTGCGTTTACGAGAGTCATTTGCTCAACTCAGAAACTCAACAAAAGATACGAGTATACTAGACTTTCAGATAAAAAAAGAGAAAAATCTGTACTTTTATGACAGGAAAAAATAAGAAACAATTGAAATTTGCAAAATGCAAAACCTCGAAATTTGCGTGTTCGTATTAGAAAGAAGTTTTCTCACAAATTTTTCACAACCAACTTCAAAAGCCTCTATTCTCTGCTATAAACGCTAATATACAGTATAAAACGTTTCTCAACATGAAAATCAAGGCAGGGGAAAATCTTTCACTTTTGATAAGCTCTTGTGAGTTATCATTACCAGTTAGACATTATTTTTACAAGAACAACATAATTTAAGCCTCGATATTTTTATTATTTTAATAATTTGAGGCTCTAGAATCCATAATTCTGTTCTACTTGCAAAAACATTTTTCTACAAGTATACGCTATAATTTTTTCCTAAGACCACTGAAAAACAGTTTTGCAAGATACTTTCAGTATTACAATTGAATAGCTGATCAAATCTGCTTTGGTCTGTTAACATAAGAGTAAGTTTTCAAAAAAAAATTTGTTTTTGTTTCTACTTTTTCTCATATAAGGCTCGTCATGTTCTGACAATGTTCTTATTTTTGTAAAGGAATCTTATAAAGTATGTCTTTTTTAAAGTATATCAGGAAAGTGCCCTTATGGCCCAACTGGACGCAAGCCCGAGGCTCATGTTCTTATAAAATTGCTCTTATATAAAGAGAGTATACCGGCTAGGTCGACCCTGTCAATTACCCTGTACAGCTGAGGGTCATGTGATTGAGATGGTCAATACATTGTCTCACGACCTCATGAGAAAGCTATTGCATCAGGAAGAGTAATATCATAAAAATCCTATTTATGACGATATTGGACTTAGCTTTGGGGTTGGTTTTGCACACCAAATGATCAAATGATTACGACAAAATGTCAACGTAAGCAAATAAGGACAAAAATGAGATAAGAGCTTTGGCAAACTGCATAAAATAAAGGATTATTCTAAAAAAGTTTAAATCTATCGATAAGGGCAAGAAATTGATTAATTACGGAATGCAAGAATTGAATTTTCAAATTAAAATAAAAGATCTACCGATTCAAAGCATTTCAGGCCGAATACATGCAAGATATAGAAAGCTTGATCATTATCAACGAGAGATCTGTCTTGGCTTAACAATTGCACTCGGAATCATAATTGTTATTATTACTATTTTCCTGAGGTAAATGCCAAAATGTCTGTAATGAAAGGTGGTGGGAAGATTTGACTTCGGTCGGGTCTATATTTTATGATTGACAATCTCCAAAAATACTCTAAAGATACTCTAAAAACGTTTACAGTAAAACCATATTTTCTTATTACGAAATTCATTCCTTGGGGCTTCGGATAGAAACAAGTCTTTTAAGTTGAGCTGAACAAACCCCACGATTATTCAGGCCCTGGACCAGAAAGGGGCTAGCTGGCTAAGCCCTCAAATTTGGCCAAAGTCATTTTGTTGGGTCATATACTAAAAAGCGGTTTTGTGACTCTAGCCCTTACCCCCATATTTGCTTTGTTGATTGTAAAAATGTTTTTGACCTGATAAACCATAAGTTGCTGCTACATGAGTTTGTATCTCATCTTATAGAGTCCAAGGAAAAAATTTAATATGGTGCTTTTAATTTACTCTTATGTTTGTATACAAAAACTCTTATCGTCTGAAGAGTAGTTTTGTAATTGTTCGAATTAACATACGATGTAAATAGGATTCCGCATGTCATTTTAGTAATCGTTTCGTTTCTTGTGTCTCAAAAACTGGCCTTCATTTTCAAATATCATTGATCATTAATTACTCCTCGGCAGGGATCATTGATAATATTTTGTGCCTAAGAGCGCAAAGCCGAGTAACAATGTGCCTGCATGTAAAATTGAATGCAATTTATAGTCAGATATTGCTAAACGGAGAATCTCCCTGTTAAGCTCAGTACTGTTACAACAACTTACGTTTGTCAAAAACAGATACCATGTCAATGTCATCATGAACTACGTGTAACTACATTTAAAAATAAACAGATAATATAATACATGCTCATAGCGTTATATCGTGTACAAAAAGACCGAGATACCACTTTTTGTTGGGGGGGGGGGGATGGGGCAGCCGTGATAAATAGGTGAAACAACAGCCATATTTTACAAAATAGAAAAGTCTACTTATGCTCCTGGAATGATCCAATTTTTATCTACGGGTTGTTTTGGGTTGTCAAGTAGCCCTATCGCTGTTATCGATTTCATCAAATAGAGACACCTTCACGATTTCATCAAAGGCTTTCCGATATCTTTAACGCTTTACTTTAAATTGGACAGTTTTGTTTGGAACATCTTTTTTCAAGGTTTCAAAGTAGGATTTTGCGTTCGCTTCCTTGGTAAAGGTTGGAAGAATTTCGACATTACACTGGGTTTTTCTCATTTCAAAGATATGAAAAATAGCCATGAAAGATTTTATTCCCTATTACTCTCGCTGAAATATCTTATTAAACATAGTATCTTATATGAATACTCCGTTTTTTAGCTTTGAGTTTATCATGCTTGGAAGATTCGATTATTTTAATATGAAAATGCTTTCTCGCAAAAAATTGAAGAAAAATAGGCTTGTTTTTGTTATCGAAAATTGTCGAAAATTTCTGTTTTTGATGAATTCTTTGGAGATGTACCTTGAAATTGTTCTCAAATAAGTCAGAAATTGATAGCTACCAGGTTCAAAAGCTTGACGACTTTAACGTAAAGGAGTGTGCTTTCTTCAGCATAATATGGACGGATGAGTTTTACAAGTAATAACATAATGCTCTGAGACAAAACGATACAATAATTGCAAGAGATCTCTCCCATCAAGAGACAAAAAGACAAACAGCCAACTTGATTTTGAGGACCAAATGGCACTTTTAGAGTAAGGACCTTCTGTCATTTTGGTAATAAAGACTTGCAACCACTACCTTTTATATTTTATTTGATCTTTTAAATTTTAGTACCAATAAAGATGTTTAAAGAAAGCAGGACTTTAAAACAATAAAAGTAAATAAAAATCGATTCAGAATTGTGCCTGCAGAAATTCTTGAGAATGAACTTTTGTGCCTGCAAGCGCCGCTCGCGCAGATTGATGAGGTCTGCTTTTCAGTCGTGGCTTTTACGACTTTTTTATTTGCATTCTTTTTCCATGAGCTGTCCAAAGATAATGACAAAGTTTTGTGTTACTTGTGAATGCTGGATTTGCTTCATGTCTCAGTGTTTAATTCGGTCGAGATCTACGGTCCGACAAATTCTAGTATCGTATGTTTTGAAAACTAATTTTTGTTTTTTGAAATGCGCTCGACGAAGTGAACTTGGGCGCAACGAGCGTCGCATCTGGAAATCATTTGCTGACCAGCTGCAGACCAATCGTTGACCAATCATTGTTTAATTGCTGACCAATGGCTGATCAATTGCTGTTAGATTGCTGACCGATTGCTGACTAGTCTTCGGAGTTTTTGAGGCCCTGATTTCAACATTTTCAAAAGGGGTTTCGAAGCTTCAGTCAACAGTTTTTGCAGTACAGCTTCATCTTTCACTCCGTAGGCTTTTGTCAAGAAAATGCAATTATGTAGAACTTCTGACTCCAATGTGCACTGTAGAATCTTTGGGAAAAGCCTGAAATTGTACCAGTCTCTGCTGTGTTCCCCTGCAGACGTGAATGGTGCAGACTGGTTGGACAAGGCTGCGAAGGAGACTTGTTTACTCTGACAGTAGCAACGAACCCACAACAGCTTGGATTAAAGTTGTGGTTAAATTTGCAAAGGCGCTAAATCCTTCACCTCTCCGCTTAAATTCGACGACCAGGGCAGATTAAAAGGGTATTATCTTCAATGGAATCATGCTGAAGCCTGGAAATAATTATTTATCGCCTAGATCTCCTGGAAATAACAACAAGAAGAATGGGAATTCTAGGCCCAAATCAAAGAAAGGAAACATAACGGCTGCAAAAGGCAGCTCAGGAGTTAAATCCCAAGCTTCTAAGGAAAAGGAATCCAATTTGTTTGAAATAATACTGGATGATGAAAGAAAAGAAACTGCTGCAAGCTCAAAAAATAATGTCGAAGACAAGGTTGCTATAGAACAGGTTGCTATGGACGGTGGTATGAAAGGCGGAACAAAAAGAGTATTACGAGATAAATTTGGTCATAAAATGTATCAGAATGCTTCAAATATCTATGCATATCTAAAAGGCGAGATAAATGCTTCCGCAATCCCATCGTTTAGCGACGAGTACCAGAAAAGAAGGAGTTATAGCATTGCCTTTGCTGCTAAGAGATGTGAGGATTTGAGTTAGCTTTCTGTCGCGAGGATTTCTGCTAAAGCATAGGTCTTTTTGGAAATCATTTAAGAGCATAGGTGTCCGTTCTTTTTAAAGTAAAACTTTCATCATTTTTGGAGAATCAGTTGATGAATTCTCATATTCCAACTTGATCTTTTGCTACTGATTTTTTAATAAGTTATTTGATTGAAAATTCTGCTTTTCAACTATTTCGTAATGCTGTACATCCTATGGCAATTGTTTTTTGTACACTGTTTATGTGTATCTGCTCAATATTTAAATTACACTAAATGCAGTATCTTTAAAGCAGGAATAGGCTACCTGTGACCCACAGATGAAATGAATGATGGCCTGTGAGTAGTTTTTAAGTGGACCTTCTTTCCAGGGCCCTTTTTAACATACTAGCTAGGGGGTATTTGCCCCAGTGACTTCCATTGTTTTAAACAATAGGCTATTGTCCTCCTTATTATATGAACAATGGTTTGCCCCTGCAGCTAATTTCCCTTGGAAAAGGCTATGCTTTGTTCATGTTGGCTAAACCCAATCAGACCCAACCTGACCTTCCCGGATACCAAACATCATATAAAGTTGTCATCCAGGTAAAGAGAGGTTGGCCATCCTTGCTTTTTAGACTTCTTTGACTCTCATTTAAATTGAAAATTTTGATCATTTTAATTTCAGATGAAGAGGTGTTGAAAGATGTTCTGTTTGACAGCCATTTTTACTCGATGTATTCCAGGGTAATATTCACTTTTCATATGTTCTAGAAATTTTTCCTTTCAATTTGAAGTTGAACAACATTCTCTTTGAGCCCTCAAACACAATATTATCGGTTTTCATGATAAAATTTCCATTTGCTGATAAATAGGAAGCAAAACCTATCTAAACCAAAAATGTATGTTTGGTATTTAAAAGTTTAAAAGTTTAATAGTAAAAAGTTTTTTTACTATACCCCCTGAAGATGACATCATTTTTCTTTCTTCTTTTTTTTGGCTACGTTTTATCAGTTCTTCTGTTTAGTTATTAGTATAATTTGGTAACTTTTGTAATTGCACAAATTTGTTCCACCTATGCCCCCTTTTCTGGAAATCGATTCAATTCAAACTACATTGTAGGGCCTGGTTTGACCTAAGCATTTTTTTACCTGATCTTTGAAAACATAGAAGGTGTTTGATGGCAGAAATCATTCAGAGGTCAAACGCTTATTTTTTAATTCTATATCCCCAAAATATCAAAATCAGAAGTATAAGGATCATGGAAAGCTACACATAGACAAAATATTTTGGTATTTTTCTTACACAAATTTGAAAGTCTAGTAGAAAGAAGTTTACATATTGTAAGACATAGCTGTAAATTGAATTGGTGTATTAGTATCTATTTGACAAAATAAAGACAAATGCAATCATTTCAGGACTGTGCAGTTATCTGGAAATGAAAAAAATGAGCTTGGTAATTTTGTTAAGCAGCTAACCATAAAAAATCGGGCCCACTGAGAAGAAGTCAAGGATGAATTAAGTCATAGGCCTTGCACCAGAAAGGGGCCCTAATAATGTTAAAAGAAGTGTACTAAATCAGTCCCAGCTATTTTCAATAAAACTTTTTGTAGGAAAAACAACATGTTAATGTACAACTCTGGGTTTAGTAAGTTTTTAAACTGACAAATGACAGATTTTGTTCAATTGCACTCTTAGCCACTTTTACATCTCTCATGTAAGGGCTCTCAGTGAAATTTTCTTACAGCATTAAAAAAAGAGAGCCAGGTATGACTGGACAGGGCCTGTTTTGGCTCTTTAGGGGACTAACCAGAACCAATACTTAAAGCTTTATAACCACCAACTATGATTATTGCTAAGTGCCATCATTGTAAGCATAATACATATAATAAGTCACTATCATCATCATAATCAATGTCATCAATCAATGTCATCAATCATTGTCATCAGTCCTTGTCATTATCAATCATAACATTCACAGTTACCATTCTCATTATCACAATCATCATCAAGATTATCATCATGATCATCATTATAGCTATCATTATTATATCAAATCATTAATAAGTGACAGACACTTAGTCAAATATTGGGTGGCAAGCCTATTGTTTTGATAAGATGACGTCATATTTTCTTTTGTTTTAGAACAAAAGACCATTGTTCTCCAAAATATTGGGGGCAACTGCCCCCCTCCTGACCCCCAGGTGTCCACCACTGTCATGAATCATAATCTATCATGCCTATTATTGTTAACTTTCTGTCAATGTATATTTGTATATTGATGCTTCGTTCCTTTCAGCTTGAGGCACAACATCACAATAAGGTAATAGTGATGCTGATGGACTACTATGATCATAACTTCAGGTTCAGCGATTCAAAACGAGTAGTAATTAGCGAAGACACACAAGAGCCACAAGAACTCATACGTGAAATCCAAGAGGCAATCGTTTCACATCAAGTGCATTTATGTGCATCGTTCGCACGATGTCGTATCCGGGACTGTGCACTCTGTCTTGAGGATTTGGTCAATGACGGGAATAAAGAGGCACTCAAGTATGCCAAGCAGCAACCTCTCTATGGCCGTATAAATACACTGAAAACTACAACGGATGACGTCATGAATTTGTTGATAAATGAAGGCTTCGTCTTAGCGGAAGATACCGAGCTAGGAGAATTAACTGGTAAAATGTTTCGTAAGGACCCTCATTTTGGCGATATGTTAGTATTTTCAAAGGAATGTAAGGACGATGTCTATTCCCTCAACATAACCATGGATTTATGGCTGTATCCTCAGGTAATTTCATATTCTTGCCATCCGAAATAAATGGAAGAAAGTTCTGAGGTGAATCTGATGCTGTTATTCCTTTATAAGAACATTTTTTATAGAAACGGTGAGGCCTGATTTGCCGAAAGAACAACGTAAGTACATGAAATAAGAAGAATGAAAATTTTGAAAGATGAAAACAACGCATTAGTAACAAAACTAGGCAAATTTTATCAGCACATCAACCGTGCTTTTAATAATGTCTTGCAAAACTGTTATTTAATTGTCTTAGCTCTCTTTGGAGAAACTGTTATTAACTCTTTTAACATTTCGTTAAGAATTGAAACGCCAAAATGTTCTAGTTCTTATAAAAAAGTTTGTAAACTGTAAATATTTTCACATGATAACACCCCATTTTTCTATTTCCTCCGAAGTTCAATTCAATGCATTATCCTAATGGAAATTTACAGTGTTATATGTGTTACAGTGTTAAATCATTCTCAGTGTTATATGATTTTGCTTGCTTTGCTTCTATATTTGAATCTACTTAAATTGTAGGACAAGGGAAAGTACGTCATCGTTGAAGTAATGAAGAGTCTTCTCGTTGAGATGGCAGTCCAGAAGGACAAGGCAATGCATTTGATTCCTGGTGAGATGAAGTCATTCCTTACCGATGGAGATGATGTGCTACTAACAAACCCAGACTCAGGTAGGGACAGGCAGATAAAGTAAATTCTACAATCATTTTTAAATGATTTTTTCTTACCAAGTCTCTTTTTACCGATCAAGGAAGAGGTGCAGTCAAGAGGTTTTATTACAAAGCATTCAAGGCTGAAAGATATTCTACTAGAGATAAGAGAAGAATATCCCTTTAGTTCGTTGAAATCAAAAGTCAAGAGCTGATTTTTAGCGACCTCTTGTATGATCAGTGATATTCACTTTCTGCAATGGTATTAGTTTATGTTAAACATTTGGGGATGTTTTAATGGATTTCGGTATTAACTTGAATTATATCAAATAAACTGATGTAATTAATGTGGATGAATAAGTAAGTAATAGGAATAACAAATTGCGCCCTACCAAATTTATCTGATTTTATAATATTTTCCTCTGCAGGATCTTTATCTGCACATTTGGCAGCATTCATTAACCCAGAAAGAAAACTCTACATCTGCGGATGTGGGACAGACTCGAAATCGAGCTTTGAGAGCAAAATCCTTGCGAGTGGAGTTAAAAGTATCCTTTCACTTTTACAGAATCAAGAGTTCCAAAAAAATGTCGAAACGGGGGTACAAGGAATCAAATACGTTCAAAAGTGGTCACGTAAATGGGGTAGAAATTCTGTCTTCAGGTGGTCTTTGAACATGTTTTGTAGTTTAGATAGTTCTTGGTCTTATTCAAACATTTTTACCCTTTGAAAGAGGATGGGGACAGTCTCATTGTTACCCTTTCACATTCATGGCGAAAACTCTTTTCTTTTTGTACGGTTACTGAGGTTGCTTGGCATTCAGTTTAAACCAGTACATCTCTAACTGATTACGTAATAGCAACCCGAAGAACCAAAACACTTTTAGATACTTTCAGTTGCAGCTATTATTAACCTTACCTAACTGTTTGTACTAGTGAGTCAATATTTTCTTGATTAAAAAAGTAATAGAAGTCTTCTAAGAAACGATAACAAATGTAGGGTTTCTTGGTAGCTAAGGGAAGAGAGTTAATTGGTATTTCAAGACCCACAACTCTGCCACAATTATTCTATTCTACCCAATGTTGTTTATCTCAGTTTTACTGCTTCCTGATTATTCAGTTTTAAAAAGATGAGAACATTTATCCTTGATTCAATGGGCAAGATTTTGAACTGGTTGAAGAATCGTTTACGGAAGTTTCACATCACGACGAACGGTTAAAGCGCGTCAGAATCGTCATGTGCAATGTTCCGTGCTCAAAGTCTGCTGTCGTCAACCCGGTAGATTTCGTGTTGCAAGAGGGGAACGTAGCCGCTAAGTTACTCAGCGGCAAGGTAGACACAGGAAAACAAAAGGCCATAATCTCTGAGGAACTCATGATTATAAAGCACGCTTAAAATTCACTCAGGCTCAGTCGATTCTTTATTTCACCTCATCGGACAACTCAGCAGAAAATGAAGACCTTATAATGAAAGCACTCAAAGATCATCGCGAGGACACATCGGTGAAAAATCCTTTCCAGCTATCACCATTCTTGCCCGACCTGGTTTCAAATCTGAGAGTTCACGTGCAACATTCAGAGGGTGGGATGCAAGAGATTTTCATTGGCAGCGGTTTGTTTTTTGGATGAAAACTCATTTACCTTGATCTGTATTAATTGCAATTTTTAAAACAGAACTTTGTAGGCTCCTTCAGAACTCAATTTATATTTGTCTTTTTTTGGGCGTATGACCAATTTCATCAAAAACAAGACTCTTAGTTCTGAAACTATAATGAAAATTTTGTACTGTGTCAAAAGGAATTTTTGCGGATTGTTCTGCAAATCATTTCAATTATAAAACATAAATTGGAGAGTTTGTGCTAAAAATGTTTTCAGCGTTACTATAAAATGAAAGCAACGCCCATATTTAATTTAAATGTTTAATTCAATTTTTAACTAGATAAAGATCAAGAAGTTAAGAAAGTAAATAAATTAAATTTTTTGCATCATTTTATTACTGACTACCAAATAAATGTTTTAACGACTCGAAGCAAAATCGACCGAATGAAAGAAAAGTTGGAGGATACCGTACCCTGATATCCCTCAATCCATCACTGGTCATGTCGTATCTGCCCTTTGAATTATCGTATCTGTACTTTTAATTATAGCATCTGTACTTTGAATTATCGCATCTGTACTTTGAATTATCGATCTTAAAAGGGGCTTCCTTTTTTAATGAAGTGCTCTAATGCAGGAATGAGGGCCGAATGTTTGGATGGTTTTCTGGTAAATCGTTTTTGCATACGGTAGCTATTGATATCTGTGAGAAATAGATTTTGAAGTCTTATTGCGGAGAGAATAGGTAAAATACAAAGCACTGTGAACTAAAAATTACAGTTCCCCTTTAGGTCCACAAGGCAAGAGCATGTAATAACAAATGATTGTCGGTACTTACTTAGGTCTTCAATGTATTTGCATCTTCTTGATTCAACTTTTCTTTACTAGATGAAAAATATCTCAAATTGAAGCCATCCTCTCGTATGAACGGTTGCTTTGTGGCACTACTGAAAAGACAGGTTTGTAACTTTAGTTACTGTACTGGTGATAGTGCGAAAAGAGGTTTCCTTTTTTAAATTCTATTATCCCCAATCTCTACCCAGTTGTAGAAAGGAGATCGAATGCGCGCTCTTCTACTTTTAGGCGACGTGTAACGTTAATATTTCTTTAGCTCTTCTGTTAACATCTAATTAACTAGAAATGCTTTCTTGAGGTTGGGCTTCTTTTACTGATACGGGTACAAATGTGAATGTTTCTAGAAGTGACTGATAAATGTACCTTTTTAGTATGCAGAAGCTTCTCCAAAGGATATTATCGACCGATCTGCGAAGAAAGGACTGACGTCCAAAAACAAGATAAGCAAGAAAGCCCAGAAGCACGTCAAGTCAGAAGTGATGAAATCTGAAGACATCGACACAGACCAACAAGAGATCACGAGGAAAGACTCGCAGACTGACAAAAGGCTTTTCCATAAGTTTTTCTAAGGTGCCTTGACGGTTGGTATTAACGCTTTGCTGGAATATTCATGATTGTGTATTTGATGCTTATTTGATGATGATAATTTGCTGACGTGCTTTTGTGACAGAATAAGATATTGTAGCCATACTTAAGCAAAAGCAAAAAAAATGTTGCTGGTGTATAAAGGGTATATTGAGAAAGGTGGCCAATTTCTTTCCTTTATGTTATAGGTAGCCTAGATTTTATTCTCTGATTTAACAAAGGATGCTAGTTTCCTGGCTACATTACCTTTCCTTCACATCAGTACCAATGAACCAATGTGATATTATTTTCCCAAGCACACATTTTTGGCGCATAAAAGTAGTTTCTTGAAGAGTAGCAAGTAACATTTCTGCAACATGTTGTGCTTTAGGAGGAATTCCATTGAAATATCAACAAACGCTTTAGAATGTAGAACGTGATGCAAGCACTAAAGGATATTTAACACTGAATAAGAAAACATTTCATGAAAACTTAAGTGGATAAAAGATTGGAAGGGAGAAACAAGAAACTTACAGGCAACGAGTCGGTTTATTAGAACTTGTATTGTTGGGGTATTGGATCTTCCTGTGATTTTCATGTGATCAATTACGTTTGCTTCCCATCTTTCCAAAACACAAACATTTGCTTCATGTGTTTATCAACACCATTGAAGATGCAAGTCAATCACATGCATTTATCGACAGGATCCAAAGATATAGGTCAGAAATGTTTGGCCAGGCGATATTTAATTGCCCCCTGCTCAATTTATACCTCAAGTTCCTGAAATTTCTAGTTGTTTCATCTTTTTTGGTTGGACGAACTTTTTCTTCCGTTTAATATTTATTTCATTAAGGTAGAAATGGATGTTTCTTCCAAGACAGGGAGTAACCTGAATAATTCGTGACGTTGTTTTTTGAAATAGAAAATAGCAGTCAATGAAACTTACATTTCCTCGGGTTGAACGTCAACCCTGATTAGTAAGAAAATATGCCAGAACCAGTAAAATATATTTAGAGAGAAAGTTTCTTCGTCAAAGCTAACAAGACTAGGAATTGGGATTGCTTTCTTAAAGCCCCTGGGCCCGGTTGGAAAAATAAGGGAAATAAATTTCAAAGCACATACAAGATTTAATATTTTTCACCTCAAAGTAATTTATTTATTGATGACAGAGAGTTAATTCTTAATGAAACTTGATAATGTATTATTGAAAATTGTTCTCTATGCATGTACAGATTTATAAATTTTAAATCAAACGTTTCAGATGATTTATATGAAAGATTATAATATATTTGCTAACATTTGCTCTTTATAGTTATTATTTGATTTTCATACAATTTCATTTCCTTTTTGTGCTTCTTGAATAACTTGTGCTACTGAGATGGTTTATACTTCTTCTTAGAAGAAACAAAAAAGCTAACGGTTACAAAAGGTATTTATTTATGTATAAAAATATAAATATGTTTTCGAAAAAGTGCTAACCGAATGTCATTATTGATCTTAATCGGAATCCAGCAAAGAGTTTTATCGCCAAAAGAAACAATCCATTTGCCCGAATGATACTTACATAAATTCCCCTCTTTCACTCCAAGCCTGTTTTCGTTTGTTGCTGATCCTTCTATTATTTAACTTATGCAAACCTTGATATGGTTTCGCATTCCTTTTTCCTTTGCTTCATTACTCTTATAAGAACGAAGGAAATCGAATAATCTAAAAGAGCATGATAGGATACCTCAAAATGTGTGAAATGAGTTAAGGTGTTGATTGGCTGAGATAAGACGACATTAGCCCAGGCTTTCATCATAAAATCACTGCAATTTGGTCTCTGTTCATTACTTCATGAACCAAGCCAATCGTTTAGAAAACTTCAAAACTTTCATTTGCAATAGGAGTATTATCGATTATTCTGATTTTCCGCATTTGAAGGTATTTAAATAGTTATGTGGTCAAAAGTAAGAAACCTTTTATGATGTCATACTTAGAACTGTGTTGGGGTCCAGACCTTCCTTTTTAACACCGTGAAATAAAAATGCAGTAGAATGGTTGGAGAGTGATATCTCCGGAGAGGAGAATTTGTTTGCATGCACATCAATTTTATCGTGGTTTGAAAGGCCTGAACTATAGTAATTCTTTGTCCTGAATATGAGGAAATAACTTTCAACAATGGTAGTATTCTATAGCAAAGAATCATAAACCTTCGTGGTTAAATAGTAGTATTTATCTCATACATAGATACAAAATATTAGAAAAGTTTCTTTTAGGAAAATATGCTAAAAATACAAATATTACGTCACAACAAATTGTTTACAACATTTTCCTGCGACTTTAAAAGTACAGTAGGGCGTTAAGCCGAAATCCCACTCTGGAAAACGATCCGCGGATCGGATCAGATCGTGTTGTTCTGATCAGTTCTGTTCGATCCGCGGATCGTTTCAGATTGGAATGCACGTTGACATTTATATCTCCACGGGATCCTTGCCTCATTACGCAAGTGCTATTGTTTGAAAAGTTATAATTCGATTTTGTTTAAAAGAAAACTACTGCACCGGAACGTTTCAAAAAAGGTGAGATGATTTCAACTTTTTTTTCGATCCGTTGCGGATCAGTCATGCGACTATTTTTGCATCCAAAGCGCGTGCGCAATACAAAAACTGATCCGATCCGCGATCATTTTCCGGAGTGGGTTTTCGGCTTGAAGCACTACTGGTTACATCTAAAAAAATAAATACATCCGAAAAAATATTTTCACCCTAAAGCTTATACAAAGCTGCTGTATACAAAGATTTGATATGAATTTGGTGTAAAAAGATTTAAACCTTTTTGCAGTAATGTGAATGACGTGGTCACAATACTGTAAAGTCTAGTGCTTTGTCCTTAGCAAGACAGGCACTGTCCAAGTTATTTCTACCTCATCAAGAAGGTACAACTGTCCGATTGACGATTCAGCATGCGACGAGATGCTCTGGATTTAGATATTTTTATGTCTTGTGCAATGCAGAGGGGAAACTAAAATACCTTTTACCCGGTTACACATTACAGTTCACAAACTGTGTAATACACGCCTAGCGTATGTTGACTGTTTTAGGCCAGCAGATTAAGACAGCATAAGTTCTTCGCATTCTGTTTGGTTACCAATCATACTACTGATAGTTGTTCACCTAGAACAAAAATAGCGCATATTTGATAATAAAACGGAAAATGGTATACCTTCATTAGTTAAAGGCGGTACTTTTCTGGGGAATCATCGTGTTTTTCTGAAAATCTGGCAATGGCATACAGAAATTACACGCTGATAAACTTATCGTATTCTGTGGGTGAAATTACAGTTTGGAACTCAGTTGATACACTTTGGTTGTTCTAGCGCACTAATAACACTGACCAGTTAGGGTTATAAGATTGGAGATACTAAAAATATGCAGCGAAAGAAAGGCTGAAAAGGAATCGACTTGAGTATAAGAATAGAAACGGGGGGCAAACCAATCAAGAGATTAGGTGCACGAATGAATTAACTAAGTCGAAATAGACGACAAAAGTTGAGGTTTTGAGAAAGTGGAGATCAGCCTTTCTTAAGGTGCAAACACGTACAGAACACGGATAAAATTGATTGATACAGTAAACAAAGATTTGCTAGGTCCTGCATAAAACTGGCTGTTTATATTACTAAGCAGCCATTGTGATGTTGTTTTGGATTTCTAATAATTTTTATATTTGGGCAACGTTAGAGGCATCTGTAGGTAATGGTTATCTTTTCCGGCTAAAAGCCTAAAAAGGTGTTGATTTTCAGAAGGTGTTGACAAAAAGATCCTAAATCGGCGTTTTCCACTAAAAAAATATCTGAAATTTTTAGTCCGGGAATTGACGATACAATATCCAATCAGCAAACGAAAAAATTTTCAAAAGATCGGATAGAGGATTTTAAAGTCGACGAAAACCAATTGATATAATAAAACAGACAGACTGTATTATTCGCTTACCATCCTGAGAGTAGCATGTTGTACAGTGGAGTTGCTTTTTAATGAGGCGAACTTTTATCAGGCCACCATCGCTTTGCTTGACCAAGAATATGCCACAAACGGAACAATAAAAACAGTTGCAATGCCAAAACAACTCTGTATCTGCAACTGTCATCAGCAGCTTTTCGCATATGAGCCTACGACAACAAGAGCAACGTATTCGAAAGTCTTCACTTATCACAAGCTGCCGAGCTTCCCTTGTTCGCTCTTCATTCGACTCATCATCAGAAAAATAGTCACGTGGATTCAGATTCACAGGACTGACTGTTTCATTCTCAGAATTTGTTCTAGCTTTATATTTTGATGGAACACCCTCCGTTTTATTTCCTTGATCGCTGTAAGGCGTTGTCGAATTTACAGGATGATCTGAATGCACATCAGGCTTATAATGTTTACTTTGAGTTCCAGGATGATGTTTACTTGGACCGTCAACAACATGGCTATCTACTTTCACAGATGATGCACTTGGTCTTGAATACCTATAAGCTACCGATGTTACATGATAGGTGCGACTTTCTCCATCAAACGTATCGGCTAATTTACCCTCTAAATAACTGGGAGATCCTTTATGTAACAGATTGGATTTACTATCACAAACCGAATCATCAGCTGTTTCAACGCGACGAATACTAGGAGGGTCCACAGTATCTGTTTCCTCTTCTACAAAGTTATTTGTCCTGGGTTGAGGATTGTCAATCAGGGAAAAATAGCTAGGGTCCCAGTAAGTCTGACTTGATTTAAGATTCTGGAACAGATTCTCTGACGCTCGATAGTTCCGAGAATGATCTATTTCCTTCTCAGAATCGAAATCAAATGACCCAATATCTGGGCTAAATGGGTCCTCGTAACTATCAAGACGACTATTTTCCAGATTTTCATAAGACGGGGAACATACTTCATTTCTTTTAACGAGCTCATTCTTTTTATAACTTACTGTTGAATCTTCAACTGCTGAATAACCTGCAGAGTCAAACGATTCCTGTTTGCTGTGACTTCCAGGATCCACATTTAAGTCTTTTTGACTGGTTCGGGAAAGTTCCACTGGTTTCCTTTGAGGATGTGAGGCATAAGGCTCAGCTACTAAGCTCCCCCTTAACACTCTTGCCATGTGCTCAAAGTATGTTATTGGCCCACTTGATACACTGCTAAGTCGGGGGGCTTTATTAACATCGGTAGAAACGGAATGAACGGCTTTTGACAATGATCCAGAGCTGCCATGACTTTCGCTGCGAAGTTCACGATTGAACTGTCTATCAAGAGAGCTTCCTGAGTCAGAAAATTCCGATTTGAACGTTGGAGGGTAGGAAAACCTGTTGATGCCTTTCTGTGATTGCATTTTTGACAAAATTGCCTGGTTTTCAAATGGATGTTGTTTCAGGAATATAACTGTTTCATTTTGATTTGGAGTAGAGGAACTGTATGGCAAGTCTTTTCCTATCTCTTTGTTTGTTTGTGGTATTCCGGCGCTTGTGTGTAGTTTTCTCGATTCCTCTGCAAAAAACTTGTCTTCTGCTTGTTTTAGCTCCTCGACAGTTAGCTCTTCACTTGCATTTCTAAAATCCTGGTATCGACTTTCCTCGTGCTCCTTTCTCAGCTGCGCAATTCGCTTCTCTTTGGCTGCATCAAAAACCTTGTCACTCTCTGTCTCTATAGGTTTGCTCTCTTTAGACTCCCGCCACTTTTTAAGCTCAACCTGCCTCTTCCAAAAGCCTTCTTCTTCCCGAAGCAGTTCTATAAGCTCCTCTGATAAACCTAAAGATTTTGCTTTGTCCGTATTCTCAATGGACAGTAGATCTGTCAACAGGTCTTGATTTTCAGCCGGTATTCCTTTGCGACCTCGCAGTCCATATCTAACATCTCTGTAGTAGCTCGATCCATCCTCTTCATCGATGGACATCTTAGCTTGCCTGTCTGTTGCAGGCATTGTCACCAAAACGTCTTTGACCCCTTCATCATTCGATTGTTGCCAAATTCCCTTATCACCAGTTCCCTGCTTTTGTTGGCTCTCATTTGAATTTTGACAATTTGTTGCAGAATGTTCATGTAGTCCTCTGCAATCTATAAAAAATGTGCAAGTTAATAATGTTGCAAGTTAATGGAATAAATAATCTCGTGGAAACAAAGAAAAAGACAAGGCAATATTCCCAGATGAAGCAATGCTTAGGCCAAATTAGTGAACAAAACCTTTACAACGGTAGAAAGCAAATTCCCAATACTTATCATTTGCTATTTTAAAGTGTCTTTTCCCAGCAAAGGCAATGCCCCATCTAAAAAGATGACGAAAGTCTCTCAAAGGTGATATAAAGTTATGTGAAAAATGCGCTTCTTTCTGTGAAACATGGCCAAGCTAAAAAGCTATTTATAATGCTCCTTCCAATCAAGATGTTTTTTGAATGACATTAAAATTGTTTGCAATAAGATTCACTGGAAATACTAAAAGGCGTTTTGTTCACAGAACACAGTTAAAGCCTCCTTGTGACGGGCGTTTGAACTACTTCAAACCAATCGCAAAACTTTCCAGTTCAGTCCAATATGGATTAAGGAATTGTTCTAACATCAAATATGAAAGTATACAGGTACACCAAGACTGAAGCTTATATAGTAGCGATATAGTAAGTGTCTTCAGCTATGATGCTTATTATGAAAGGAAAATTGTTGTTAACAGTTGGTTAGAAAAACAAGTATTCGTTTATAAAGTTGCAAAACAAAATTTCAAAAAGCCAATTAGCGAAATATTTCATTTATAAAAACTGTTAATAAAGGTAAAAATGAACAGTTGTAAACTAAATGCGGCGAGCAACAGTTGTAAACTAATTTAAAAAATTCGACTGGTTAAAGCTCAAAAGCAGAGATGAATGACTGCCAAAATAAGACTTTCAATGTTGCCATTAGAATCTATCTGGAATGAATTATTCAAAATTTTAAAGCAAGAAACTGATAAATTTCTGTCACAGATTTTTCAGGTACGTTGTTTTGACTAAAACAATTTTTATAGCTAGCGAAAAAAATGATTCGTCGAAAAATGTTTGGTGAGACTCAAAGCATTACATAAGGTTTCCTTTGTTCAAACAAAAGGCACAATTGATGGGAACAATTAATTGCTTCAAAAATCCATATTTTGAAATAGATACAGCTTATTTCTTTATTTATTTCTTAATATCTTTAAAATTGATATGAAGTATGCATTGTAGCGATATGATAAGTATGTGATATGATAAGAATTGAAATCAAAACAACAAGTATGCGATTGTTAATATTATAAATGTATCATTCCTTTAAATCAATCAACCGAATTCAGCAATGCTACGACAGTGCTTTTCATCATCGAGACCACTCTTTAAAATGACACAGATGAAAAGTGGTTCCGTACAATACACTTAAACTTATAAACATTGTCCAATAACTTCTTGATAACAAAAGTAAATGCCTCCCTAAATACACATATATAAGCAAGTTGTGGTAGCCCATGGCAACAAGCAAAACACGTAATCATTACCGAATTAAGCGAGAAGGAAACCTAAACGAATATAAGCAAGACAAATCTCAGAAATTCTGAACATACCAGAAACTTTTGAGTTAACCCTTATAATTGTAGCTGTTCTTTTCGGGGTGGGATTCTCAATAGATTTGCCAGTGACAATAATCTTCATGCTTGGCTTACGTTGGACAGACTTCGGTCTGGGCTTTTCAGATAATTGTTCACTGACTGGACCTATATCTTGCTGGGCCTGAATCAGACCATCGGATCTGCCATCTCTTTGTTCCAAAGTCAGACTGCCTGGTTTTAAACAAAATCAGAAATAGAAATATTGAGGTTTCTTGTGTAAAAAATATAACTGTGAGCCTTACAAAGAATTCAGTGATTCTCTATAGCATGATAATCTTATTAGGCATAAAGCAACTTTCCTAGTCGTATGTCAATTATTTCAACTAGACAAACGGCTGCTGCTGTCAGCTCTCAAATAGTCCTGATTGAGTATATTTAACTATTTATTTTTCCATGTAAATATCAAATGATAAGGAATATAAATTAAAAAGGACTCTTTTAAACTTTTAAAAAAACTCGTCTTTAACAACAGCAAAGTAGCTTAAAAAACTTACTATTTCGTCCTTCGGGCTCCTCTTGTTGCTTGAATGTTTCACATTCCTTTTCCATTCCAAGCAGCGCACCTTCAAGCATTTTACTGCCATCAGCACTCCTTTTTCGACTTGTTGCCGTAATTTCGATACTTCTTCGAAATGGACGATGCAGTACCGGTTCTACTTCTTCCGAATGTGTTCTTGGCACAATGCCTTCCTGATTATTTTCCTTCAAACCCAACATATCTTCGAAATTCTCATCTTTGTTTATTTTTCCACAACTGACTGCCTTGAGATTTGTTTTGCTTGCACCCGTCTCCGCGTGATCACTGTGTTTGTCCTCTAAGGCCTTCACTCGATTCCTAACCTTTTTCGTCTCTCCGGTACCATCTCCGGTGTCAAGTATTTTTGCTTCAGCTCTCTTTTCACTTTGAATTACCCTTTCTTTTCTTTCTCTAGTACCCCTGGTTTCGCAATCAACCGACAAAGACTTTCCAGCACTGCCCCCCTTTTTCTTGAGCACGTTTTCGATCAAAACTTTTTTTACCGGTGTCCGGTTGTGATGCAACTCACTCCGGTCTTCCTTGTTCCTGATATTTTTCAGGGTTAACTCGTCATACCTACTACCCGGTTGGAGCTCGGTTTTTTTATTAACATCCGTTCCTAAGTCCGGGCGTATTACTTTTGGTTTGTTTTGGCTAGTGCCATGCAATGGCTTTTCATCCTCGTTTTTTCGATACGAAGGCTCTGCCGAAACCGACCTTGCATTTCTTGATGAAACAAGATACTTCACTTTGTGGTTCTCCGTCGAATGGGATCTGGTCATTGATCGGTTCTACAAGGAAGGTCAATCGAAATTCGGTAACAAGCAGCAAAAAAACCATCAAAGTTCACAAGGCAAATATTTCGGTAACGTCGTCTCGCATTGGCTAGTTAAGCGGTATTTTTGATCTAACATCATAAATGCAAAATTATTTTACTTCCAAAAACAGTATTTTGTAGTTGCTAATATAGTAGTGAGTTGAATTGTTTCTACAGAAACCTATATAACATGGGCTTTTGGCACGGATAGCAGAGCAAAGGAACCTTCACATGGCGGTCTCTCTGATTGGTTGAACGGCCATTGTCAAAATGAAAACAAAGGTAGTGATTGGCTGAATAAAATTTATCTTTGCTTCAACAGACCGAAAAATGCAACCGCAAAGAAACAAACGACTCGTTACAAATAGTTTCAATTACTTTATAATTACTTTAGATTTAATCACTGGAGTACCATTAACAAGGATGCATAAATAAAGAAAATTTTCCAACAAAAAAGATGATTAGAATGTGACAAGAATGTTAGAATGTAAGTCAATCTTAAGCTTTTTAGTATTTCGGATAGCTCTGGAGGAAGCATCTCGCTATTGTGGAAAGGCATACATACTGCTAAACCCCCAGGAATGGTGTTGGGGGACCAAATTCACTCAAAATTTTAGTTTTTTCCTGGCATTTACGGCAAATAACTTTCGCTAAGGGTTTGTAGGTATCTAGCCAATACCACGTTTTTTCAAATAACATCACAAAGAGATGGGAGGATTTTCAGAACAAAGGCACCCCTTTTTAAGACTGGAATCCACTGTGAAAAATACGGCCTCGGTTTAGAAGATATTTAGAATCTTTTTCATGCCCAGATTGGAAGAAAAACAAACACAACATCGAAATAATGCATAACTTAGCAAGCAACCTATTCAGCGTGCTCACATTTTTCGATGGGGATGGTTCCTTTTTGTTCGCCATGTTTTCGAATAGCTGTTGTCGTCCTTTCACGTCGACCTTACTGAATCGCAGTTCCTCAGACACCATATTTCTTCCTCTAGCCCAGCGATCACGTGTTTGTATATTTCTATCTTTGTCTGCAAAGAGCTTCTCGGTGGAGTTTAGAACAGATTGGGAATAAAACTTTGATTCCCAATTGTTGATCCGCGCTAGCACCTAAAAAACAAATCTAGGGTGATATCAAGTTTTAAAACTGTTTTAGCATGCGCAAAATACACAGCTTTAAAATGCCTGTCAATAACGGAAAAAGTGCATGCAAAAATAAGTTGAAACAGCTAGCCTCTGTTCTACAATCCTGGAGAAATATACTTACGAAGATACAAAAGCACAGATCCAAGGGTCGTAACAGAAGTTTCTGAAGAAATCGTGGCTATTTTCATTGAGTTGAATTGACAAATAGCAAATGACCCTTATTATAGTAGACTTTTCTGAATGAGATATAAAAGTAAGCCGTTCAGGCAAAATGCGATTGATTGAAATAATAAGGTACGTGAGCTACCGTGGGAGTTTCCGCTTGATTTATACAAAAAATAAATTCGACAAGTCAACTTAAAAAAGACACAACGAGAGCTAATTAAAAATATATACCGTTTAATCTCAACACAATAATGTAAAATCGTGTATATTTTACACCAGCTCATTAATGTGGTTGCAATATTGGACAAAAACCGAAACCTATGTTAAAACATAGCTGAAGATCAGAGATCTCAAGGCACGATGGCCAAATTTTGCCATTAAGACAAAATGCAACTGAAGCACAGACAACTAGGGTATAGAAACATGTCGCGAGAGAAGAACCAGAGACGCCGGAAAATCTGCGGGGCATAAGGGGGAAGCGCCAAAAAGGGCAGAACAGTAGAAAACAAAGAAAACTAACGAAAAGAAAATAAATAAAAGGGCAAGGGGCAAGGGGCAAGGGGCAAGGGGGCAACCGGCCTAATCCACCCCGTGTACTTGTAGCTATGCAGTGCTCTTGTATTGATAAACGGTAGGTTGCAAATGTGGCTAAATTTTTCGTTCTATAATAATGTACACCTTGATCAGATAACTGCTGAGAAATATCCTTTTCACTATCATTTTCAAATAGATGTTTAAATTTTACGCTTGTAAATTTGGAAATGAACGTGATTGCTGCATAACTGGAGAAATTGTTTTCATTTATGGCATTATGTGTTGGACAACTGCCGTTCTTTCGTGTGATGCCTAGCCGGTGATCAAAGCCGATGTGTAGATGAAAATCTACAAAATAGATATCCAGTATATTTGGCAAAGATAGAAAAAATGCACAGGAGTGAAGAAAAATTTAGACTCTGATGAAGCCCTATATGCCGGGGCGAAATGTTAGTATACATTAGATTTAAATTATATCAAAATTTCATAACACAACATCGGATTTTCGTCATCGTTTTGATTTGTTCCTGACTATTACCTCCAAAATTAGATTTCCTGACAAAAATCTAAAATACATTTCTATGTTTTCATTAATATTATCACAACATAACTACATTAGAACTGAAATAAAGCAGAAGATAAACTTTTTAAAAATACATCCATTCTTCTTGAAGATGATTCTGGACTTCTCTTGGAAGGCATTTTGAAGACCATACCTTATAGACAAGGACGCTTACGCCAGGGGGCAGCGGCCTCCTTGCCCTCGCCAACGAAAGAAATCGCTACATTCAGCTTTTAAAATCTTCCCTTTCAAAATTGATCTTAACGCTTAACACATAGATATAAAATAGAAAACGGTATTTTATTTCCGACAATTTCCAAAGTTTTTCGACAACATGACAGTTTAGCTTTAAAGGAGGGTTTCTCGCCCCCTCTGACCCCCTCTATCTACGCCATTGTTCGGTATGACTGCTCAAGCACCCATTCGGAAGTTTCTATGCCCCTTGCAAATGAAACTTTACAAATCAAGTCATAGGCACAGAAGGCTGACAATTCTTACACTAGATATCTTAAAATGATGTGGTAGAATAGAGTGCTAGTAAATGTAACAAGGTGATAGAATAGAGAATTAAAAAAAGTAAGCTTTAACTATGAATTTAGCAAAATGGGATATGTGCTTTAGGATCCGGTTAGAAGAGAATGCCAAATCACTGTTGTGAGATAACAAGACAAGGACCTAATCCCATGTCATTGTACTATGTTTACAAATGAAACACGGTCCAAGGCTATGAGCCAGACATTTTGCTACCACAGTACCGACTTAAAACATGAACAAGGACGTAAAGGGTATTCAAATTTGAGGGCAAGGGCACTGTCCCACAGATATTTTCAAAAATACGAGGCACGTACCCCCGACGCTGTCCCTGATGGAGATATTTGGTACATATGGTAGACTCTTCAAGGGTTGACAACACTTGTTATATGGAGAGCAAGTTATAAACTAGAAATAGCTCTTGCTAGTACTGCCCGCAAACAATTAGTTCCTTGATAATGATTGTTTTGAAAATTTAGGTCAGGATATTCGAAGAAGATTCCATCTTGGGTTTTCACAATTTTATAAAAACAGCTGCTCTAGTTGATGCTAAACTATTCTTTTTATCAAGAATTTTTGGTGTTCAGTTTGCCTTTGATTTAAGTCCAACGCCCTTTTGAAAATCATGAAGTTTTTCTAGGGTTTGACATTTATTTTTCGTTTTCGTGAAGCAAAGACGTATGAAAATGGACACGTGATAGAACGGGTACAGCTAAAATAGATTGCGATAAAGGATTCGTACAGCGATGTACAGGCGATAATCACGACAATCATAACTTTTGCTCGTACGGTGTCGAGTTTTTGGGAGAAAGGTGTGGCATTCGACTGGTTTTGATTCCCAAAACTTCGAATCAAAACTTCCATCCATTGCGGAGAACCGAGCTGTGATGCAGCACCGTTTCGTGCCAAAAAACCGAAGGCCTTTAACAGAGTCTTGGCAGAGCAACGCTCCGAAGATAAATTCCCTTCCGCACAAAGAGGTGGCGGTTAACGACCTCCTCGACAAAGCCGATTGATTGACAATGAAATTGATTGACAGTTGTCATGGCAGCAGAAAAGTGACAAAATCTGCTGACAAAGTGCTGACATTATGAACTGAAGCTTCCATATGCTACTTATACGCGGGGCAGACTATAAGCCCTTCACTCGCGCGCTATCGCGCGCGAGTTGCGGGCAATAAGATGAAAACATATGGACAACTGCAATAAATTGATAGATCTGCTATTTGGAAACTTAAAACGGTCAAATGAATTAGAATGTACTCTGCTTTATGCATACAAAACACCTTGCAAAGCAAATGTGAACTTAACTACTTTTTGTCTAAATAAACATTCATTGCTTCAATATATTGACATTTTGGCGAAAGAAATTTGCTTAATGATCATGATGAATGTCAAAGAATGCGATGGGCAATCCTCTCTCTAGATTAACGCAAATATGTTATCAGACCAACTGATTGTAGCTGGGCTTTAAGATAACTAAACCTTATCTATGTTTAATTTCAACACCAACGCGATACTCAACGCAACGAGATATATCAGATCGCCTTTTTATAGTACATAATAAACGAACAAATGTCATTAAAATTAAACATTTTCGAAATTTGCATTTTCTTCATTAGAATTAACAAGTCGTTTATTACATTTTTAGAGCTCTTCTTACAGCTAATTGGTTGTCGTCTTCTACTTCATTTTTAGGCTCGTTAAAAAGGCCTTTTTGCATTATTGAAATTATATTATGGGGAAACATTGAGCCTTTATTTGGTAAGACTCAAGCGATTTTGATGCTTTCGAGATGATTTACACAAAAATAAAAATAATGATTCCAGTCAATGCTTTCACAAAGCACATCAAAATTTCCTGCGATCATAGCTATAATAATCCCCAAAAAGGACAGCTGATTCAATGACTGGAGGTACTGTAGATAGAGACAACAAACGAGATAAATTCATAAAACACAAAATCAGGTAATCATGAATGGCTTACGTCGAAAGCTTGCGGAGGATCGGATTCAGTGGAAAACTGCCACAGCATAAACATTCCGGCCAAAATTAGCATGGAATGATGAAGGATTTGTAACAAATAACGTTGAAGATGAGAATAATCACCTTGAGGCAAGTGGCGGGTTCCATTTTTCATTTGTGGGGAGGAGGAAGGGGGGGGTTATGGCCCACCAAGAATACCAAGATCGTTGTGGAGGGAGGGATCCTCTCCTCAACCCTCCATATTATCCATATGAATGACGCTGCCATCATGCAAAAATAATATTTTCTCCCCCACTCCACGGCTCTACTAAACCTACTCTCAAGATTCCAACCACATGAGTAGTGTCGAGCGTCGTAGACCTAGGAAGAATTTCAAAAGTGGGGGGAGGGGCGATTGTAAGCAATAAATGGGCTCCGTGAGCTGCCATAAGGTAATTTACCACTGCTTCTGAAAAGTTGGAGGGCACATGCCCTCCTGTGCCCCCTGGTTCCTACAACTTAGCTAAAATTGCAAGTGGAAGAAACGACGCCAGAAATGATGAATAGTGGAAGACAATGATGCAATTATTGACGAAGACGACCGCCGGTCACCATCTGTTGGGGAACTTTGCGCTGCTCAGCATCATATTCCCACGAACGCATCACAATAGGTGATATTCTTGTTGTTATTTTTTAGCCCTCATGACACTTGTCACTTCGTCTTGAGATTTTATATAATGGCTGCAGAGCAATTGTGCAAATCACATAATACTAATATTTAGCTCATTAATACTTTTTATTGTTATTTTTTGTAATTGGGAGTGCCTTTAGAGTAATTATTTTTGCTGTAAACAGATTGGGAGTGTAGAGTGTAGAGTGTAGACGTAGAATGTAAGCAGACATTGATGAATATGATGAGAAATTGAAGATTGATGAAATGTTTCTGTTCAATATTCTGGAGAACCAGCAATAGATTAAATGTTTTCATAACACCATCAATCGATGAATTAAGGTAAGAAGATAACAGCATGCTACCTTTTTCTGCACGACTATCCACTCTCTCCTTTACCACTATACTTGAAATTTTTTAGTCATTCCAATTCCAGAAATAAGTTTTTGAACTTGAAAGTTAGCTGTACATTTCAATTTGTATGCATAAACAGATTTGGGGTGTCTAATATCAAAGACTTGTCTAATGCTTAATATACACCGAGATTAAGTAGACTTGAATTGATCTGAATAGTCGGATCATTCATCACAAAGAATTTAAAACCGTTGTATGGTAAGGCTTTCTTTACTTAAACGGAGGTTCCTTTGCAGGACAATGTAATCAAAAGCAACGGATACAGTTTCTAGTTGGTTTCTCCTTTCTTCAGATTACGAAGAGGAGCATCAGGTGTACGGGCCTTTTTATCAACAAATACAAAATTGTTTCTGTTCTTATGTGACATTCTTAAAATCAGTTTCAATCATAATTACATGTCAATAGCGAGTGGTCTGTCTTTTATACTTGCCGTATCCACCTAGTTGAAAAAGGTGGAGAGGATTAAACACACTATGTCAAGGCATATGAGTTTTGTCGGTGCAGGTTAAAAATTCCCTGGGATTCCTGATTCACGAGGCATTCTGGATGATGCATAGCGTCTTAAGCAGGACTTTTAGTGAGTATGTGTGTGTGTGTGTGGGGGGGGGGGGGGGGGGGGGGGGGCAAAGCCTCTTTTCGTATTAGACAGGAAAACAAGATATTTTTCAAAGCAAAGAAATGCCAGTTAGATTGGAGGGAGTATTGACCCCTAGCTGGTACGTTAAAAGGGTGCCTGCATGAACGGCGTAGTTTAAAACTGTTTTTTCTAAGAAATTAGAAGAAAGAACCCTAAGACGGTTTTATATACCGCGTTTATTTTACGCAAATCAGGCAGCAAATGTGAATAAGGCAGCAAACAGGACAAAATGTAGTAATATAATTTTTGTTTCAGAACAAAAGACGACAAAATCTAATGTTCTAGGTACCGTTACAGAACAGTATGCAGATAACGAGAAATCAGACTCTTATATGCAACAACTGAAGAATGTTTATTCGATTTGAGATGGTGTAGGAAGTAAATGTCTATTTTGCACACTTCACACGACACAACTTAAAAAGCTTGCTTTGTAAAGGTAGGCACTGTGCTATCCTTTGCAAGGAAGATACGGGAGTGGCAGCGGTAATAAAACATTGCTGTGTGGACAAAAACACAAAAGAAAGCAACTGTGACTTGAGTGTTGAGAGAAGACGTTTACTTTGGACTTCATAGACGGCAACACAACAAGTCATTTTCAATAATACTATTAAACTTGCTATACAAACCGTAATATTTCAGTTTAAGGCCACTCGGACACTAGTAACAGCAAACGCTTCGAAAGTAAAGAGGCTTGTTCTTCTGTTAGGTTAATGCAAATAACAAATCGAGCTGAAACAAGCTCCTATTCCAAGGAATGGGCACGTAGCCCTGGGAACTAGCTTTCAGCATTGCCCACTTTATCCGCCAAGGTTAGCCGCAGTTAGGTGATACAGAGATATTCTCTTTCATAAGGGCTGACACAAATATCGGATAATTTTTCGCGATTTGCAGGCAAGGACGTGATTGGTGAAATTCGTCATGTATAGTCCAACAGTTTCTTGTCGAGCTATCAGTTCTAATCAAAAGCTCGTGCCAAATAGCGAGGTTGTGGATGGGTTGTTATACAAGCCAGAAGCGTTGGATTTCAGAAAGCGAGAAGATTTATTCCAGGATATTGTGGGATTTTTAATTATTTTATACTTCATCATTGCCCATAATTAATTTCCCATAATTAGACCCGTTGAAAGGCTTTACTTGCCCCGGGCATGGAGATTAAGATGAAACATGGGCTCCGACAAAGGTTGAAAAGTGGGGGGGCCAAGGGAAAATTTAACACCCATAGCAAAAGAATTTGAAAAAAACTCTATTGTTTTGCAAAAATGTGGGGGGGGGCAAGGCCAGCCCGGCCCCCCTTCGTCGGAGGCCCTGTGAAAGGTGTCACGAAAAAGTGAATTTTAATTCTGTTTATGATCTTTTAGTAGAATTAGTTAAAATCAGTTACAATAGATATATTAGAAGAAGTTACAATAGAATCGAATCGGTTATCGGTTATATATTAGAATCAGTTACAATGTATTTTGAAGTTGATTTATTAGAGGCCCCACCTCAGTCATTTCCGGGGGGTCTAGCTTTAATTCTCAATATAAGAGAAATTATCCTGTAAAACTTAAGAAATCTTAGTTGTTATAAGCTTTGGCAATAAAGCTAGCCTCACTGGCCACCACAGGCGTACGGGGTGAGTTCAGATAGAGGAATTTAAAATATGAAAACTGAACTGAACTGAACGGGGTGAGTTCAGATAAGGTGGGGGGGGGGGGGCCCCAATTTTTTTGCCTGAAAAATACTAATGTCCATATTGTAACGGAGTATACTCTTACATATAAAAGATTTAATCAAGCAATGATTTGCAACGTCATTAAAATGAGGCTAACTAATTAGCATTTTTGAAAACATGACATTACAAAATAGCTTTCGAGTTTTAATTAAAAGAAATATGAATCTCTACCAAAATGGCGACCATATATATCGATCACTTTATCGATATCTTTTTCAAGAACATGATTTGAACATTAACTTTCGAAATTGAAGAGGGCGAAAATGTTCTTATGTGCCTAAATGAGCTGAATGCCCGTTTCGCTGAATATGATGTTGCTGGAATAGTGGCCAGGATTTCCATCCCTTCAGCAAAATATGGAACTAAGTCCGAATCATTGTCATCATGCCTCATTTTAAGCAATCAACACACAGTTTTGCTTGACCTATTTGATTTGCAGAATCTATTTGGTAGAAGAAGCAAACCTTTCTGATGATTTCTGTTGAAAGGCTAGCAATCACGCTTGCATTCCCTAATGCCAGTGGCGTAAGGCAGTTTAGGACACTTTAGTTTGGTAACTAAGAACTCCCGAATAAAAAGGGCCTAAGATGCATTTACGTACATATATATTTCTAAAACTTTACTCTAGTTCAAATAAATTTCCAAAACTTCTAAAGTTCTATAACTCAGCTGCCCCTAGCGAACGAGAAAAATTCTCATTTTAACGTTTTGCTATTGTCAACATTATTCCATAACTACTGAAATCGCTCACGATTACGGTCACTTCACTCATCTCAGAGATTTACAATCATGTTCAAAATGCAGTTTTCTGATACTTTTTGTCTTTGGAGAAGGCTCCTGCCCGAATTTTTGGCCGAAAAAATAAGTTGCCCGAATCTAGGAGGCTTGGACCCCCCAGCCACCCCCTCCCCCACCCCATAGCCTATGCTGATCACATATCCACGTATACATTTCTGTCCCTAACATGATATCTAGTCAACTTCACATATGTTTTCTTTGTCAGAATCGAATGGACAAATTCTATTTATGTAGTTCACAGTTACTGTTGAAGGCACTTGTGCAACTGGCCCGCTTTGCGAGTATAATAGAAAAGACTGGCCTAATATCGTACTGTATGAAAATACAAAAGACAGTCAATTTCTCAAGAAAACTGCCGCTAAGCATGCCGGTTGCGCAAGAGCTTTTAAGCAAGAAGTAAAAGCTCATGCGATCTCTTGTTCACCCAAAGATGGTTATTGAAGATCTCCTTATTTTAACTTGCATATTTTTACGAGAAAATAGCCCTTTGGGAGAATCAGATCAGGAAAACTGTTACGAAAAATTGAAATGGCTCACGAAACAGTTATGGAAACATCACATTGTCTAAGTTTGAACTCTCTTCACAGATATTGCATTAGAATTGAAGCTCAAATTTTCGAAAATTAAACTTTCTCTTGAATAAGTTACTTTTGTTTTTAAACTACACCAATAATTGACATTTTACATACCATGATTGAAGCTTTCTTCCCAGCTAGTCCCGAAGAAGTCTTTGAACCTTAAAGTGAATGTACAGTATAAGATATTTAATAAACATTGTCAACCATGCAAGAAGCTTCAGTGCCGCTCCCGCCCAAAAAGTGAAATGGAGACTGTTATAATCTCATAAGCCATATGGAGAAGAATTTGTGTTTGTAAAATGACATCGCTTACAGTCAAAGACAGCTGCAAGTATGACATAAATTGAATATTATACATGGTTTTGAGCGACACATTTATGGTAACGTTCATCGATGGTTCTGGAGTGAGATAGAGGTAGTAACAAGGGTGACGAAATAAAAGGTTAGATTCTTCTCTAAAAGACAGGACCATGCAGTCACGTAGAAGTGTAGTGCTATGGAAGAAAAAGAGACTCTGGGAAAAATATATATAAAAAATGATAAGAATATTGTAACTATTCGGAATTAACTGTGGGGGGGGGGGGTTCAGTTCCGCAGAGGTGTAATGCCGCACCGTACCCCCTGGCACTTGTTACTCTATGTAAATGAGCCGTTATCGATGCATAACGGTTTCTCAGTTCAGCCAAGAAGATTTTACTACAAGTTCCTTTACCAAATAACCAATAAAAATTGTATTGTCTTTGTTTTAAACTGGTAGAGTAGAGATGTACAACCAAAAACCTTTTTAGAAATTATCGTATTGAGCTTATGTAGCAAGATGTTTCAGCACTGCTTCCACCAAACAATAGCTTATTTAGGCATTAATCTAGCATCAATGGGCTCAACAAACCTTAGATTGCTTCTAGGTATCTAATAGACTGGGAGATTTTCGTGGATCGTCTTCTGCAACCACTGACTTTCATGATTCAGCAGCTCAATCTAAAACATATAAAAAGGTCATTACCCCGATGATTTTGTAGAGCCTAGGGCAATATTCGTGTCTCCTTATGATAGTGGAGAACTTGTAAGCCGTTAGATGGATTTGGCGGTCAGTGATGTGTCGGACATGGTGACGTATTCGAAAGGAAACTTCGTGTGTTGTGACGTGAAATGCTTAAGATCCGTGTCAAAGAAGTTTAATGAATAAGGAATCAAAACCACGATAACCATTAATCAAATATTTTTCTATACTATGACCAAGAGATATGCCCCAAGTTTTTGTAATTTAGTCACTAAAGTAAACTGGGTACTGAAAATGGTAAGGCCTTTTTTAACTTTCAGCACAAGGAAATATTGCTTTCGATTTTCATGATGTCGATATAATGAATGACATCGGATAGTCATTCTAGCCCGTGAGAGTCGTTAGGGAGTCGTTAGGTAGCGACTGTTGTGGGTATAGGGTCTTAGACTTTGTTACACAAGCTGTGAAGAGATTGGTTTAGGGAGAAAACTCGGCCAATATCTAAGTAAGTGAACAGTAGAGTAAGAATGAGAATGTCCAAATTCTGGCTGATTGGCAGTTGTTTGTTTTTTATGCCTACGATGACAAAGGTATCACAGGAGATTGAGAAGATGAAGAACAAACCAGACAGCTGTAACATCTACATACTGAACAATATTTAGAGAGATAACAAGAAATTTAGTCATTTTTGTTTATAAGTGTTATTTTTTTGTTTCTTAAATTTTCTCTTACAAATTTCATGTGTATACTGAATAGAGTTGCCATCTTATAACTTTTTCAACATGATATATCTACAATAAAAGCTCCTACGACACACCCAAGCCACGCCCACTTTCTATTATTTTGTGAGGCCTTCTGGGACTTTTGTGTCTGGAGGAAGGTTAACAACTTTTCTGGATTCTGCTGTCTGGTTCAGAGAAGATATCAGTAACTATAAAAATATATCGAATTAGCTAGTGAAGATAATAAAACACAAAGGTAACCAAGTTAGAAAATACATCATATCATTAAACAAGATGAGTCATTCCATTTCAAATCATCCAGATGGTGTATATGTCCTCAGAATGCAATCATTTTTTGTGAGCAAACAAATCTCATTGAAATATGTAAAATTGCAAAATTTCAGCTTAAAATCTTTCGTTAGTAAAAAGTTATAGTACCTTCAATATTTCGGCATTTCCAGGAATTTTTTGTAAAAAGGGTGTGGCACCAAATTGATTATATACATTTAATCCCCTTTATCTTTTTCTCTAATCAACACAAATGGATGAAAATTGGTAACTAGACCAAATGAAGGGTGCTAAATTAAGATATAACATCAAATCAAATGTATTCTGTAAATAAGTTGCAGTATTACTGAGTAAAATCTTGTACATTGAAAATCGAAAGCTCTACTTCTGGGCAAGGATTTTAAGGGTATTATGGCCGAAATATTTCTATAGTTTGAGTACAATTTTTGAAAAGTACTTGTTCTACATATGTGAAGAGAATCATTGTTTGGTATTGTATGCTGCAGTTTTTGTGAGCATGTGTAGTTATGGGGTAAATAATGATACACAGAAAGGCTATTTGTATATATGATTGGGTTCTTTGTTGTTACCCTATGACAAACATAAAATATCTACTGCTGTTTTGTCAAGAAGTTTTTTCTTCAAGTGTAATTGGGGTGTCATCTGCTACTACTACTACATAGAAGTAAATGAACCAAAGTTGCCTAACTTTTCAAAAAAATTTCTCAATCCATTATCGAGAAAAAGTGGGGGGGGGGGCCCATAGCCCCTGCTAGCCCAATGGCTGCATGGTGCCTATCGTGAGCCTTTGACCCTACATCAGCATCAATTCAAAACATTGGATAAAAAAAGCTTTGCAAGTTTAGGTCCCAGGGCCGTAAATCCCAGGGGGGATGGGGGGGACTGGACCCCCCCCAAAAGTCTGGAGCAAAACGATTTTTTTGGAGAAATTACCATCATTTTCCTTGAAAGAAAGAAATCCCTGGTAGCCGGGTTAGAACCAAATTACGTTTTCTGTGTTATTGCAAAAAACCTCACCCACTAAGGCTATTTTTGTAAGCAGAGTGGTTTTTATAATTTTTACAAGATAAAAACTTACCGTTTTTTACCGTTTTCTACCATTTTATTTTTGAAAACAGAGTATGAAATAAAAAGAGAGCAATCTATCATTTTATTTGACCTATTTACTAACTTATTTACGTACATTTCTATTATTTGTCTATTATTTACTTTTATTTAGTAAATCACTTTTTGTATCATTAACATGTATTCATTTTTTATGTGTAAACATGGCCTTCTGAAATCAGTCAAAATAAGGAAGACGCACATTTCTGTTCAGAAAGTAAATTTCTACCAATCAATGCAACATCATCCCTACTTTCCCCAACGTCTGTCACTAGAGATTAAGCATGGCTCTTCCACTCAAAAATTTCACCCAATAAACAATAATCTGTGTTCTTCTGAGAAACGCCGAGCTTTCTATCCTGAGCGATTCTAGTATTCTATTAAATTTAGTCTGGGGGATGCTTTTTTAGCCTTTCTAGAAGGTAAAATTTCAAAAATTTTCTTCCGCGTCGGACCCAACCATGGTGGGTCCTCCTACGACAGTAAACTTGATTCTTAGCTCCAAAGGTACAATTTCTTGGGGCCGTCTCTGAAAAATGTTATCCATCCAATCATACACACAAAAGTCAATGTACTAAGGAATATCTGTAAATACCTTCTATAGAGCAGAAAGTCTTGAGAAATCCAAAAATATTGACTTTTGTATTAAAGTAATTTGCCCCTCAACTATTTTCATAACACATACCATAAATCCCTTGTGGTGCCACGACCCACTGCATACTTTATATTCATTCGCTCTGCTGACCCCCCCAATTCACATGACAAATTTACGGCCCTGTTAGGTCCAAATTTTAGGTGACTGTAATTTGTACTGTGACAGTAAGTTGAGTGAATCACTGAATACAGTGGTAGCATATTGGGGAACAAACGTTTTTAACATGCTTAAAGCTATTTTTATCCAGTACTGATAAGATTATGCAGCATAAAATCAAGATCAAAAGGTGATTACAACCTAAACTGAGAAATTGATTTAAATAAGCCAACAGGAAAGAGATGTTCCTAACTGGCTTTGTTTTAACATTTTGGTCTTCATCTAATTTAGTGACATTTTAGTCAGCACTCTGTTTTTCATCAGACTAGAATAGTCAGCTTCTCATCAACATCAACATCTATGCATGCTGCCTAAAGAGCAAAAAAGGCAACAAACTGCATTGGTTGCAAAACAAAAGCTCTTCTTTAATTTATTCTTATGACACATAGAGATTTTTTGCATAAAATCTTTTCTACAACAGTCCATCTTTTGAAACTTAACCTGCCATACTTTTTTGCATTTGAAGCCCTGGAGATACTAGTTTTTTTCAAAAAAGCATGGAAATAACTTTGGGCCAAAACATAACTGGATCCATAAAATGCCACTGGGGATTTAATCAATGGTAGTATATTATGTCAAATAATATCCACTCAATTCTAACTGAAAGCTTTACAGTAGTTATTTCCTTGAATTTAATCAAAATACAAATTCTTGAAAATCCTGCTGAAACTATACTGTGATTCCTTTTGCATCTTTTTTAGAACCAAATTTGATCCATGTTACACAGCCTGCACAAAACTTCTTGTGCATCTATTGTTTTTGTTGAAATTTCTGTCTTGCAAGTAAACTAATTCCCACTCAGGTTTCACAGGGTCATCAGGGACTGTGCATGGGGTGGAATACCTTCAATTTTTTAAATTAAATGACTTTGAAGCAAAAAAAAGACACACACCTCTACCTTTATACTTAACTTATGACTCTCAAGTTGAAACATTGCATTTATTGCTGATATGTTTGGTTCGATTTGATGATTTTATTCGATAAGATGTGATAAAATTCATGTCACAGAGTCTCCAGCTGTAAAGAATAGCATTTAATTCTAATTTTCTTGACTTTCAGCCTGTGTTTTGTGCCTGCACTACAGATTACATGTACCTGTGCTGCAAACTCACTAAAGCAAGCTGGAAATACACCCAGACTAATGTAAACTGATAAATGCTCCTAAAATTTCAACTTATTTTAATTAAAGGTTTTTTCCTCTAAACCTCGAATCATATCTGTTCTGTGTTCTCCAGCTAAAAACTCTAAACTTTTGAATTAAATTGATTCATGCATACGGAGCCATTAAAATTTCACAACTAAAATAATATTTCAGCTCTGGGCTGCTATTTCTCCTCGACTGCTATATTCTGTTGAAACTCCTTAATTACGAATTAACCTTTATTTATAAAGGCAAACAAATTTTCTTGGATGATATTCCAGTACATGCGTGCTGGTTTTCTAGATGTTGCTGTCTTTTGTTAACGTGGTACGATACGTAGAGAATCTAAAATTTAATGAACTTGACGGGAGTTACGAGACTGATCAAAACTATATGAATAGGCCATGTCAGGATTATTTACAACCTCTTACGGTCTCTTACCTAATCAATATACTTTCAAGCTGACTTACCGGCTGACTCACACAACCAGTTTTGCAGCAGCATTCCTTGTCTTTGCTCGTATTTACTGGTACTCTAATCACACCATGATCACGACAAGGTTTCCATGCACCAAATTCCAAACCGATGTCCTGGTGTTTTATCTTCATTGATCACTCCCTATTACTTATTAAACGGGTAATTGGGCAAAAACAAATGGTAAATTTCAACGTGTCTCTGTTGCTATACAATTTGAATGAATTGGATACCATCCGCCTCTCAAAGCGTCTTCTGTGACCAATTTTCTTCGTTAATTGCAGAAAGTTGCTAAAATAAGCTCGTTCCGTAACCGCTTTTGTTTCTCTATCTAGATTTACTTCAACTGATTTTCTACAAAACACGAATGAATATTTTTGGGTTACGCCCCCTGAGCATTCTGATCGTAGTCAGGGTGACAAGATATGGGTGGAGGCCAACGGAGCGGGGCGATCTATTACAGTACATTTTGAGGAATGTTAGGGGGGGGGGAGTGGGACAAGCAAGATTAGCACAAAGTTGCAAACAGTTGTTGACCTTTCTCTAAACCAGCAATTCTTCCACTCTTACCAAGCTTTTCAAACATACATTATCCTGACACACTCAACAATTCATGAAAATTTTCCTTTCTTTTCTTGCATTTGTAAAATTTGCTGCTATATATTTGTAAAACTTCTGACACCATTCGTTGTTTGAGCGATTGACCGAGCGAATAAACGACACGTTTTGACACACAAAATCAATTCCTTTTGTTCCATCCAAAGCTAAGACGTACTTTTACACAATATCGAAACTTAGGTACTAAACAGCCTTTCACAAGCACTGTTACGCCATTAAATTATATATATATGAAACGAAACCTCGAGTGCTTTCACAAGCCACTCGGGTTGAATGCCATCAGCCCTCTCTTAGCCTTTCCATCCATTACCGTTCTGTGTGTGTGTGAGTTAGTGTCTACATGTTTGATAGCAGTGGCCTTTCGCAAGCACCACGCTTCTCTCTCTAACTAACTAACTCTGTTTCTCCGTACTCTACTTTATATAACAGCATTACAATATAGCAAACTAATATCAATAATTGCCGGTGTTATTGTCGGTATCTATCGTGCAATACGTAAATGAACTAGTAGGAGGTGTTAGATATATAAGGATACGCGGGGGAACTTTGTAGAGCAAAAGGGCATGTAAAATATTACTATACCGGAAAACATGAAAAACTAAAGCGCGACACGCTAATATTTCCTAATCAAATAGAAGCATGAACAAATATAAGCATAAACGCAAGACTGACCTAAAATGAAATAAGTACCTATATTACATACCTCCCTATCAAGGAAAATGAATCGTCCTCGATTCTTAAAGTGAATCTAATGAAAAATAATTAAACGTCCAATGAATATTTTTGTGTCCGTAAAATAGAAATCGACAAGTCCTGTGATTGAGATATTTGCAGCTACTGGGTTTGACTATGCATCTCTGGATGGTATGCAGGGTGTTCGAACTGTCGTCTCGGGAACAGTTGTTCGTCGCCTTCCATCTTGAGGTACATGTCCTAAACTGATTCGTGAATCTGGGTTCTGGTCTGTTTCCAGCACCATATGATCCCACTCCTGTCACCATTGTAAAATTTGCTGCTATATATTTGTAAAACTTCTGACACCATTCGTTGTTTGAGCGATTGACCGAGCGAATAAACGACACGTTTTGACACACAAAATCAATTCCTTTTGTTCCATCCAAAGCTAAGACGTACTTTTACACAATATCGAAACTTAGGTACTAAACAGCCTTTCACAAGCACTGTTACGCCATTAAATTATATATATATGAAACGAAACCTCGAGTGCTTTCACAAGCCACTCGGGTTGAATGCCATCAGCCCTCTCTTAGCCTTTCCATCCATTACCGTTCTGTGAGTGTGTGTGAGTTAGTGTCTACATGTTTGATAGCAGTGGCCTTTCGCAAGCACCACGCTTCTCTCTCTAACTAACTAACTAACTGTTTCTCCGTATTCTACTTTATATAACAGCATTACAATATAGCAAACTAATATCAATAATTGCCGGTGTTATTGTCGGTATCTATCGTGCAATACGTAAATGAACTAGTAGGAGGTGTTAGATATATAAGGATACGAGGGGGAACTTTGTAGAGCAAAAGGGCATGTAAAATATTACTATACCGGAAAACATGAAAAACTAAAGCGCGACACGCTAATATTTCCTAATCAAATAGAAGCATGAACAAATATAAGCATAAACGCAAGACTGACCTAAAATGAAATAAGTACCTATATTACACATTGACCGTTATAAGCTTTGTTCTCCTTTCATTATTGGGGCCATTATTGTCATGCAGTTGACATAATTATTAATGTGGTTCTGAGTAATACTGGTGATTTATTTTCTACAATTGAATAAATAAGATGTATAATTTGCTTTTATAAATTAAAAGTCCTCAATCTTTAGCCAAAGCTTTCCTCCAAATCAGGCTTGTAGGTTTGTGGGGTTTTTGCATCTCATGGAATAGTATTTTATTTACATGCAAGAAGCAAAATTGCAGGGAATGTTTTGGGGAATAATTTTTTATCTTTACTTTATTTTTACTTTTTTTAAGTAGTAGTGTACCTTTATTTATCCTTGCTGTTATTGATGAAGCTTCATAATGTGTTTTCCTTAAATTTGATTCTTTAAATACATATGTGTACATGTAACTATCAAAATCACAAAAGGTCGCGTAGTTCGAAAGCTCTTCTGAGTTATTTCTAAGTGTCCTTCAGTTTAGATCGAGGTGCCAAAGCCAGATTATCTTGGTGCCGGAGATTCGTTTTCTCTTTGGGCTGAATCTGGCCCTGGATCACAAGGCCTATTTGTTAACAGACAAACTTGCTACGGAAATAGAGAATACTGAATGTCAGCTATAAACGAGAAACGAGAAATCTGCAGATTTGTTTTCTGAAAGTATCGTCAAGAAAACTTCCAAGTCTGAAAGCTGTAAAGCAATATTTAGAGATAAGTTTTAATAAGCACAAATCATACTGTACTTAAAAACTCTAGACGTTATGATAAATTCTATCAAAAAACCTTTTGAACAGCCCAGTTTGAAATTTTTCTCAATTATACAGTAAGTCCCAAAAAGTTTTCTAATCAAATTTGACAAAATATGTAATACACCCAACCTTACGAAATTGCTTAATCTTTTTCTTTGAGTTGATACAGTTGTTCTGTTGACTTCTTTATGTTCATGTTTTATGTCCATGCTCCGACACAAGTTGGAATGTGGGGGAGGGGGGGGGGCAAGGGAAGATTTAACAATCATAACAAATGATTTTGAAAAAAACTCTATTGTTTTCCAAAAAGTGTGGAATAGGTATGACACAATAATCTATAAAAAAGACTGGATTGAGCTTCCTATTGTCTTGAAACACCAAAGTTTGAAGCGTTCAATTTCAAAAGGAAGAGGGCCCCAAACAATAGCGGGAAGCCATTCCTCAAAAACAATACTTGAATGATATGAATTCGTGAGAGCTGCAATGCCGTGTGTATGAGTCCTAAAAAAGAACAAGGCCAGAGCAGCTGAAAACGTTGCTAGGACTAACACTTAAGGCCGTCTCCTAGCATGGGCTGTTCTGGGGCCCTCTTCTCGGATGGCGACACTATTAGAAGCTTGATCCAGTCTTTCTAACTCGTCTTTTTTTTCTTATCATTGCCTTCATGCCTCGTTTCGATTCTTGTACAGCTCAAAACGAGGATGATGTTTACAAAGAGGATCCTGTGAAAAATGGCGCGTTATCATGTGATAAACCTGCAGTTTGTCATAGTTGTACCGTAAACAATCCAGGCTTTGTTGTCAGTGGACCTTCACATGACTGTTAAATGTTTAATTAATTTTGCTGACGCGTTACCTCAAGGTTTACAGCTTGGTAAACCGAAATAAACATTTTTATTCTTAACCTTCGTGGGGCTGACACGACAGCAGAGAAGACGGGCGGCAAAACAACCCGATTTTTAAAATCATGGAAGTCGGACCAAAGCTGTTATTTTTGCTAGCTGTAACTACTAATCTGGACTCAACATCGTCCAAATCGATCGTTCAAGATGCCAACAGTTTTCATCTCCCACCATTACAGCGCTTTCCGCGTCCACAATACGACCGCAACATATACCAGGACAACAACGATATCACCTATGAAACGCTCTATTTTGAGCAAACGGTGAGTAAGAAGTGTATTGGAAGATTAGAAAAAATATTCACGAAATCTCTTCAAGAAATTTGCCAAGATTTTATATAAGTTTGTATCTGTTAACAGCCTTCTCTCGACTCTTCAAAATGTTGGCCTCATTGAGCTCAAAATTTATGTAGTTACTGAGCTCACCTGTGTGTTACTTCACTTCACCTGTGTGTTAACCTTCACTTCACCTGTGTGCTAACCTTCACTTTACCTGTGTATTACCTCCATTTCACCTGTGTGTTAAATAGTTTGGTAATATGGTACCAGTACTTGATTTGAAAAATCTTTAAAAATTTGAATGATGTTAGAAACAGCAGCTAAGTCCGTTTTCTATGATACTTTAAATCTTTAAAGGTAAAAATCAAACAATAAATTTCCTTGTCACATGAAACTCTAGAAGTATTTCAAAAAATTGAATTGGAAGCAAGTAGTCTTCAAGCAATTTTTAAAGTTTTGTATGAACATCAGTACTCTATAAGTATTGTTTTTTTATTTTTTCATATCAAGCACCACTAAGTGATATTTTATTAATTTTTTTCTTGCAGCTCGATCATTTCAATTTTCTTGGCGGAGACAAAAAATTTTGGCAGCGATATTTAGTTAACAAACAATATTGGAAAGAAGGAGGACCAATCTTTTTTTATACTGGCAATGAGGGTGCAATTGATTGGTTCTGTAATAACACAGTTAGTGTTCTACAATTTTCTTTTTTTGTTTTTTTTTCTTGTTATTGAAAATTGTCTCTTTTTCTGAACTTGCAGTTTGCTTCTAAAAGAATTACCAGAGGGAAATAGGTAACTTTTTTCTTAGCTTCAATGTTAAAAAAATGTTTAGTTTGGGATTTTTGGGTGCAAATGCCTCTCTCCTTTTGCAATATGTTGTCCCTATTACCTAGGCATGTTTGGTACAATGCCTTCAAAACTTGAAGGAAACTTTTACCTCAAATGCCTCAATTGTAAGACTGTAAGATTCTGGACTATACATATTGTTTTCTTTCCTTCTCTTAGTTCAGTTCAGTTCATTTTATTTTTAAAAATCCATAATACAAATCTTTTGAAATGCAGCAACAGGTCACAAAAGATGAAATAAATTGCATACAATGAGAGAAATAGAGAACAAGAAAAAAAAATATAGATGATTTTACAAAAACGAAGGATATTTGCATGCAGGAATTTCTTAAAGGAGGAGCTCTCTATATAGATAGACTAATCGAGGAGAAAGCACCCCCTGTGGTAAAAAACTATTAATTTAGTATTTACACCACAGTCTTACCTATAAAAGAGTCCATAGCTAAAGGTCCTTTTATTTAATTGAAGCTTTGCCCACTAGCTTCTGACCCCACTTTGAAATTCATTTCTAAGCCACAGACAAGTCTCTCTATTGCCCATAAGAAAATTTCCTGTATTCCTTCAAAGTACTTTCAGAAAATTTGTGTCTGTACTTACATTCTTCTTCAGGGATTTATGTGGGACATTGCTCCAGAATTTGGTGCCATGTTGGTTTTTGCTGAGCATCGATACTATGGGCAATCTTTACCATTTGGAAAAGACTCCTACAAGGTAAAATCATTGAACATTGTGACAGCAGATCTGGCCATAAGAGTTTTATCTGATGGGCAGTATTGTCCATTTTTGTATTAAGCAGACAATTTTTACAATATATACAAGATATATCACCAAAGTGCCTTGGATTGCCTCTTCTGCAGGTCTTGAATTGTGTGCCTTTCATCTTTTTTCCCAATAAATGTTAACAGAGCACATTTTATTGTATCTTCTCTTTCTATAAAATGTTGTTCACAAACTCACAGAGCTTTATGAAAGAAAGCACATTCATTGTGGCAATAAAAACTCATACCATGCAGTGAATGTAGAATCTTGATGTCAGACATAATGTAATGACTATTTTTGTTGTTAAAGTGAGACTGTTTGGCTGGGAGTGGGTATTTCAGCTATGATGCATTGTGCTTTTATATGCATCAAATCAACTGAAATGTAAATGATTTTCACTTTCTAGCATTTTTCGCAATGTTTATTAATATGATAGAACAGGACCAAATTGCCAGCACTCATAAGCTTGCTTAAAGATGAAGTCTGAGCTGTAGATAAATTTTATATGCTTGCTTCAATCCAATAAACTGTTACCTCAATAAAGGCAACTATATAGACATTGATGAAACAAATCATTCTGGGAAATTTGTATCAATGCAGTTTTATTGTTAACCATTAAGGATGCAACCCATCTGGGCTACCTGACATCGGAGCAGGCTTTGGCTGACTTTGCTACTTTGATTGACAATATGAAGGTCTGTTCCTTTTTATAATTAGACTCCATAAAATGGTTGCAAGAAATCTCCTATTTTTTCTTGTACAACCATTTGATGATACCTTTATATGGCTTAATATATTTTCTTTTTTGCACATAAAATAATTGTTTTAACTAAATGATAGATTATTTTCTATAGATGCTGATAGCCCTGAAGAATTGCATTCTTGTTAATTCATCATAGCGTTTAGCTTGATTTTTTCAGAAGCAACTTTTATCATAACTTGTGTATTATTAGAGTTGAGAGACAGCTTGATATAACTAAGTATTGCTCATTGTTACACTTGTGATACAAACAAATATTTGGTGAAGTTGTTATTTAATCTGTCAATTTTATACTATTCTTTGAAAAGTTTGATAAACTGGTTTGAATGAATTGTCAACCTAAAATGTTTTCAAGACATAATAATGCAATATGTGTATTTACAATTAATTTGTATCTTTACAGTAAATTTTGTATTTATCTTTCTCTTATGTGCAGTGAATGTAACAAAGTTTCTTACACATATAAAATTCATTTAATTCAATACAGGCAACCATGCCTGGTGCAGCAAATAGTCCAGTGGTTGCCTTTGGAGGATCTTATGGAGGTACATATTTTTTCATCATTTTGACCTCTATGATAGAAACATAGAAGATTGGAATGAAAATTCAGAATTTAACCAGAATTGTATTTTCACAATCTTTACTCTGGTAGCCATATGAACATAGTCTAGAATTCATGTTGTATTCCCTTGGGTATTCAAGACCATTGCTAAACAACCATAGTCTCATTGTTCAAATATCCTAGACAATAGACAGCTTTAGCCAGAGTTAACAGATGTCAGGAAATGCATTAAGAGTTGCATGACAATATCCAAAGTTTAGTACCCATTCCACAGCAAGATTCTGTTAGATAAGAGCACTTTAGCACACTTTTATTCAAAGGCCTAGAAACATGTTCTATTTTGTGCGTATCTCTTAATTCTCTCAATTTTTATACTCTTTTGTCTTAATCCATTATTAAAAATTTTATTGAGCTTTATTCATGGTAAAATACTATACTATCCAGGCCCGTCAGAACCAGGGGGCTGGGGGGGGGGCTGGACCCCCCTGATAATTGTCAAACTGTGGTATGTTTCCTTTATAACAGTGTACTGAATGAGAAGGAAAACAATGGGCAGCCTCCCCAATATGAAATTCGTTCTGACGGCACTGTATCATTCACAGAGGTGCCATCTTAAAAAGTTAGGAAGGGAGGCTGTGCTGTAGGCAAATTCAAGAGACCACACCCGTTACCACACCCAATATACAGAACTTGCATTTGTGTTAAAGAATCTCCATTGTCTGTATATATCATTCAAACTATTTGATGACACAAAAAGACTGATAAGAAATTGCTCATTCATGAGGAATCCATAGTCTAATAAAGGGTTGAACACAGAATTCGTCCTACAAAATATGAACTCACCTGTAAAGGGGGGGGGGGCCAAAAAATCTCTCTGCATTTCAAAAAAGGGGGCTGAGCCCTCAAACCCCCATCTCCTCCACAGCACCACTGATCATTTAGAAACATATGTATAGATAGGATAAGGTATTCTTTACCTAAAAATTCAAGTTAGCATGTTTTTGCAAAGTTCACCTTTCAAACTTTATGTTAAAATCAGAAGAAAATGTGTTTCTTTCAACCTATAGGTATGCTGGCTGCCTGGTTTAGAATGAAGTACCCCAGCAGTGTTGTAGGGTCAGTGTATTTTATATACTTTTCTGCACCGACAGGTATTTGCATTTTTAACAGTCGTCCCAACCTCACTCTCTAGAATACAGCAGACCTCCTAATCATAGTGGCCTCTTTTAAACCTACTTGATGTAGTTGAGAGTACCCTGGCCTGTAGTGCTAGCATGGTTTCCTCAACTTTCTTCAAGTCTCTGTTGAGCTCTTTTTGAAGGAGAGAAAAACAAATGAGGAAAACAAATAAAAGAGAAAAAATAAAAAAAACTTTTGTTGATAAACATTCAGTTGATTTTCCTGCTTAGAAATATGCATTGTAAAGAAGTTCCTTTTGTTTGAACCGAACATAAAAAACATTAGAAAAAGTTGATCATACTTTTGATGTGTTTTGACTGTCTTCTCATTATTTAAATATTTCTTTTTCAGGGCTATTTCTGCATCTGCCCCTATACTTGCATTCACTGGGATGAATAAATGCGAGGTTTTTCCTTTGTGTTATCTTATTTCAGCATCTTTCATTTATATTTCCAGCTAGCTATGTGGAAAATTGAATAATCTACATTGAATAAGAAATGCTGCTTTATTAATTTTTACCGATTCACATTTCAAATTTTGGGCTTGAAAGACTTTGGTTGCATCTTTAAAATGTCAGGCTGACCTGTGACGTCACAAAAAGCTATTTTTGGAATTTAGAATTTTAACCATATAGCATATAAGAACATCATGCAATACTTCCAATTATGCAAGATCACCCAAATCTGTCTTAAATCAGGTGAGATATGGCCGATGAAAGATTTGAAGTTTGCTAACGAATCACTGTTATTTTGTTCATAAAGTTATGAACTTACGAAATTACAGAGGCCTGCTGGGAAAAGAGCAAATACACATGTGGCCATATATCTGGAAATTCGTAACACAATTGATTGATTTTCCACATTTAGAGGTATTTCATGATGCTCTTTCAGGTTATGGGATCCAAATTCAAAATTTCTAAAAACAGATTTTTAAGACGTCATCATTTTAGAACTCTATTGAAGACACGCTATGTTGCTATCTTTACGAGATCGATTAGTGGTATGATTAAGAACGATACCTTCTATAACATTAATAAGCTTTGTAACAAATATTTTTTAGACATTTTACGACATTGTTTCACAAGATTTCTACAAAGCGGGTGGCACATCTTGTACATCACTGATACGCAAATCTTGGGACATTATCGCACAGTATGGACAGTCCGGTACAACTTACGTTATGCGCTTTTGACGCTTTTTTAAAATCTTTTAATGTAAACAATTTTTTTCGAATAAAAAAGCTTGTTTCTCTCTTTTATGGCACTAAAAGCTACAGTGAATTCATATTAAAATATTTAATGAAACATTCTAGCGTTTTTATGAGATAACCTATTCACCCAACCGGGTTTTATTATAGCTGGTGGTCGTGGATGGCTAAATTCCATTTTTAAACTGTGCCATCCTCTTGAGCAAGCTTCGGATACAACTCGCCTCAGCACATGGCTGTCATCTGTTTGGTCAAATCTGGCCATGGGTTAGTAATCCTTGTTTGCATGTGTTCTTGGTTTGCCTATTTTTAACAAAGGTATTTGCGCGTATATTTTTGCAAATGACTTAGCCTTGTGGTAAATCAAGTCCGGTTCCAATTTAAGTCGCCCTTTTTGCATCATGTCGGTGAAACGAATCGCAGAACGCGTCCAGCCCAGTAGTAGTCAACTGAATTCAAATTTTCCAGAGCTTATATCCCGTTTTTTGTACTAGCCCGACCTATTTCAATTTTTATCTATTTTCAAAGAAGCTATTTCTATAGTAACTGTTCTGAAATATGGTGAACGTTTCGGGTGTTCAAAAACCGTTGGCAAGCAGTATGTCCGTATAGGCAGTTGTGCATTCTGACATAGAAACATCCGTTGTGAGAAATGCTTGCATTTTGAGAATCGACGGTTCTTTTTTCATTTTCTTGGTTTCGTTCTTGTCGACAGAACTGAGCTTCTAATAATGAATAGAATTGTCCGAAAGAATTTTTATACATTTTATGATAGGATTTAATTTTATTTGCAGTTGACTACCCATATCCTGCTGCCTTCTTGGAACCACTTCCAGCATGGCCAATCAAGGTATTATATGATTAGATGTAGAACAGACTTTTGTATAGAGTAAACAATTCCTAGCTTTAAAGAAAACATGGTGTTATCTCTACGCCAAGAATTACGATTCTTGTGTAACATAATATGTTCTTGCTTTTAGTCAAAGTAACAATTTTGTGCGATGTGATCTCTGTTTCACATCTTTTACGAGCAAATAATGAGCATAGTTTTAATGCCATTTTTGGGGGCTTCGATAAAGCCAAGCTTCTTTTAAGTGATTAGACAATTTCTACTTAAAGTATTAATTTCATATTCCAGGTGGTCTGCTCGCATCTTCAAAACCCAGAAGTAGCTGGTGTTGATCTTCTCAAGAGCATATCTGCAGCAGTTAATGTATATGTGAACTATACTGGTGAAGCGACGTGCTTTAACACGGAAAGACAGGCAGAAAAATCACTCGGTGACCGGGGTTGGGATTTCCAGGTTAGCATTCAAGAACCTACAATTCTTGTCCCGAACTGTCTTCTTCAAACTCTTTTAAAGTTCCATACAGGATCGGTTAGCCTCTTCTAGTATGGACCCTTAGGAATAAGTTGAAGTTGTGTTGTAGCCAACGCACTGTTTCCTGCGATTTCAGTACAGTTTTGATAGTTTATATGACGTATTTTAGGCTTGGGCTACAATTTAAGCATACAGCTGAAACATTTCCACTTTCTATTCTATACAACTGTGTAATGGTCGCCCTAAGGAATAGCACGCACTATAGATAGAGTAAACTCTTTCTCTTTTCCCTTACACCGCCAAACTACCCTCGGATGATTTCACGTAAAGGGGATATTCCTCCATGAAAACCATTCTTACAAAGAATTATTTCCTCACCTGGCAACTATCTCCTCCCTCTCAGGCATGCACAGAGCAAGTAATGCCACTCTGCACCGGTGGAGAACACAATATCTTCCCAGACTGGCAGGTTAGTTAGATTTCTTGTAACTATCATGTATTGGGCATTTTCAAGTAACATTTCGTCATTATTGTTCTCAAAATGACATTTGCTCAGTAAGAGCTCGACTCGGCTCGACTTTGCTTAGACAGTTTTAAGGATCTTTCATTTTTTCAGGATATTTCATAGATAAAAATCAAGACAGTTTATCTCTGGAATCTCTGAAATTTTGTGGGCTTTTTATGAATTTTGTAGTGGGTTATGCCATTTCTACAATGCCTTTTACCCCAAAACTTTAGTCAAAAATATGCTTAGCTCATTCACCTAATCTCACCCCTTTATTTTATTTTGGTCTATTTTGAATAACTAAGAAATGTTCAAGATAACTTCAAACATAGTGCTGTTATCTGCGCTTTTTTCTTTATATTTCGCTCTCTTTCAAACCCATTTTTAGCTAAATGAAAATCTACATTTTTTCATTTTTCAAGAAAAATGTTTATATTTATCAATATTCAGATCTATAATTAAGTGAATGACAAGACTGTTTTGATTTGAAAAATTGCTTATTTATTCTTTTCTGTATTATCAGTGGAATTTTGATGCGTACGCAAAGCAGTGTTACAGCCAATGGGGTGTCACAACCAGAGCCTACTGGGTTGAAAGTGAATATGGAGGCAAGAACTTGAAAGCAGCATCAAACATTGTATTCAGGTAAAATATGCCAAGATATTTATGTTTGGTAATTTGGTAATGCCAAGATAATTTGGTGTGATATGAACAATGAAAGCCCTGTAGTTTGTTAACGAACGGACTGTCAGATATCTGTACTGAAGTTTAGGCCTATTTTGCCTGCTAGTATATGCGAGGACAAATTCTGTGCTTTCACTAATAAGAACCTAAGTCCGTGTATAATTTTCAAGGGGGTGATCATTTAGTTGGGTTAAGGTTTTTTAAAAAAGAAAAGCATCAACTGCCACTAAAAGAAAAGTGATCCTGTTTTGATAAGCAAAATTAGCAAAATTGATGTGTGATACAAAATAGTATGTGTTTTTCTTGATTGTGAATAAGTTTTAGAATCCGGCGCTGCTGATAATATAATAAATGCATAACTCGGAGCCTACGATTTCTCAAATCTTAAAACATTTATTATTAATTCTGCTTTTAACGAACTAAGCACGTACTTGTTATATATAAGTGACTACACATTACCAATCTATACTGCTTTATTGTGCACCTGCCACTGGTTGAATAAAGATATCCTTATCATAAATCAGCTGCTTCATTATTTAACGATGTTAGTGTTTTTGCTTTAGACTCTTCCCCATATTTAAGCCAAGATAACGTGCCTTATATTTTCAAACCCTTTCAGGCCCGTCGCTTTTGTGCTCAAAGGGAGTTTGCAAGTCTCATTTGCCGTCAAAGTGAATGAGCCATCCATTATATGCCGACAAGTTTTAAAATTTGTCGACAGAGCACCCCTAGATGGCAAAAACTCCTCGTTGTTGCAATTTAATTTTTTCAAGGGGGTGTCACAACCCACACGCCGCCCTATAGCGATGGGCCTGAACCCTTTTGACATCGAAGCAAGCCAGAAGGTTATCTTTGCAGCTTTTCAAATACCATATTTCCACCAAGAGCCGTTCTTGTAAAAATAACTGATTCCTCATAATCGCGGAAAGTATCGCCTTCTATATAGTAAAATTTGATTGAAGGGGTTCACTGATAGGGGAAATCAGCATGGTAAAACTGCACATAATTCTGGTCAATGCCCATTTTGAATCTCAAATTGGCAAGACTACACTAATTGACCGTACTTTGTAACTTTTGAAAGCAATGCATTCTCAAGCTGTAGTTCACTGAGTTGTTTTTTAACTTTAGCAACGGCAATTTGGACCCATGGTCTGGACTTGGTGTCCTTGAAAAGCCTTCGCCAAGTGTTGTGACAGTAATGATAGACCAAGGTGCCCACCATTTAGATTTGCGCAGAAGGAATCCCAACGACCCTGAATCAGTCATCAAGGCCCGCGAGATCGAGAAAGCAAATATCAAGCTTTGGATAGCACAAAAGCAACTGAACTAATTTATTTTTTATCTCAGTATTATTTACTAATTTCAATTATAAAAATTCAATCGATTTTTCTCTTTTTCTCCGTTGTATTTCCTTTGTCAATGACTACATACAAAAACGCCTAGGGTTGATGCCTAGGGTTAACAAGCACCCCGGATCTCTCTCCTGCCCAACATTCTACAGAAGAACCTCGATGGCAACTTTGTTTTCTATCCGGACATTACAACATAACCAGGCTTATATAAATTAACATTTTCATAAATAATAAATTGATTTAAATCTAGTCAATCTGAAACAGTCTCGAAGTTGCAGCAAATGTTATTGACTAATTTCTGAATATGTCTCTCCTCCACACTAATATTATTTTCCATTTCTTCAATAGTTCAACATATCAACCAACAAAATTCTACCTCTATCCAGGATTAAAATACTTATGTTATTTCCTCAGAATATTTTATGATACTGTTAATAATTCATCCAATGCATGACAACATCCAAATACATCAATAGTTCTAACAAACGTAGAAATGTGACTCACATGTTAAATCAGTAAGGTTTTTGCAACCTCGTGACAGGCTCCGCCAAGCACGCCCAAGACCAGATAGGCCATTTCGTGCCCAATGAAAGTTGGATGTTTGTCACGTAAGAGTGCTTCACCACAAGTATTTATGCGCAGATTAGCAACAATTTCACTTAAAATTTGAAGCCACTACAAACTGGTTCCACATTTGAATTACAGTGGCTTTAATAAGCAGACAGGCCACGATGAAGCAAGTTAAAAACTGAGCACGCTGAACTTGGTTCGAATGCAGAGGTACACACGGAGCTCGAACCTTAGACAATCAGAGCCGTGCAAGGAGTCCCAAGAGAAATGCCACACCAAAAGGTCGTGCAGAAATGCTTCTGAGACTTGCAAAAAGGCATCGAATAAATCATCAAGAGAATTTATCAAACTTACAGAATTTACATTGTTTAGATAAAAAGTATCCGAATGGTTAGCAAAACAACTTCACGACTAACATTGCCAGTTTCACATTTAGCTTTACAAATGCAATATATACAGCGATACAACAGTCAAAAAGACATACCGAAAACTATGTTGTCTTAAGGACTTTCTTCAATAAAATATACAATTTTATGACACCGAACAAAAGATAACACATCTATACCGTTTTGTCAGAATAAATCCCATCCAAGAAAATTACTGATACAAGAATGGGATACATATTGATCTCAACAAAATTTCAGCAGTAGATAAATTACTTTATTCCAGTAATCCTTGCGAACTTAATCTTTATGAACATAAAGATAAGGTAGGTGATTTCTTCCAAGAAGCTCCAAATCCTTATGTCTAATTCAATATGTCTACAATTTGTCTTATTCAAAAACAATATGTCTAATTCATAGTACAGTTCCATGGCTCCTCTACCCATCGATTTTTTTAGCAACAAATGCTTCTTCATAATTATTTCAGAAAAGCCAAAGTTTAATAATTGAAATATTCTCTAACTCGAAAAATTTCAAAATAATGCTCATGAAGGTTCGAATCTTACCGATCACATCATAAAGAACGTAAAATATTAATATATATCTATTATCCACGTTCTTTCAAATTATATATATTGACACCTGGCTACATACTTAGCCTTTTTTCATAGGAATTAATAACAATACAATTTTACATTGACTATACTACCTAATAACTGTACTACACTACGGGGACGATACCATGAGGAACGAAAGACAATGACTACCCCATGGTCGATACATAAAAACACACAACATTAAACAAGGATAGAAAGAAAGATTACTAAAACTAGATAGACTAATTACGAATACAGAGTAAACAGACAAAAAGTAGATGCTAATGTATAGGAGTGTGGATACTAAGCCTTGCTCCACTAGTACAAATGAGAACATTTTGACAAACAATTGCCAAAAACGATTTATAATGACAATTAAAGTGGCAAAAATTTGATGTAATCTATTTAATACCGAAAGCCAGAAAGAAGAACATATCGAGCCCTCACTAATTCTCCCTTAAAGGCTGCCCCTCTCAGCGATTCGTATAAAAAAATCTCAAAACGAGCTTAAGCAGCTGTCAAATCGGCGATACGTAATATCTTATTATTAGTGCTTAAATTTCCAAACACAGTTGAGAGTGTCGCTAATTCAACATTTCAATTGAAAACAAAGATGCAACAACAGACAACATTAGCATCCAAAGGGTCTTTGTTCCATATTCACCTGCCATCGGACTTCCGTTGCACAGGTTCTCAGTGCAGCAAATTAACTAGAACGTAAAGGAGAGTATAAATTACAACAATGATTTCTCACTTCTGGCTTTGAATTGAGGATTTAGGGTGGAAATTGCAAATCATGTTCCACATTGCCCTGTTCCCCATGTATACGAATGATGTTCTACGTCTCTTAAGCTAAATTCCAGCTTTTTGCAAAACAAATAGTTTTTCTCAACATCATTTGGTATAGTTCTTAAATTTCCGTCCAGCCCCCCCCTCTGTCACTTTGAAGGGCTCTAACCATTTTGCAAAACCAAAAAGTTATGAGGATTACGATGTCGTGTATCACTTACTTGAATTCCGTCTTTGTTAGTGACATGTATGGAACTGTGCAAATGATCTTGTGATGCACCCCTTGAGAAGTAAGTAATTCTGGGTGTTATTCAAGTATCTTTATGCTTTTTTAGACTGTATTAACATCGGTATCCTTGATGAACGACGAAGGGCAAGACACTGTGCTGCCATTATACCCGCTCGCAATAGTCCGATTGGCTATGGCTGCAGAGATGAAAGCGAAGTCCTGCACCTGTAATAGGCAGGGGTTGCTTTAAATACCTGAGTCTGCAGAGCGTATGCCAAATGCATGCATGAGATAGCTAGGTACTGCACAAAGATTCCGCAAATACGCAAAAGACGTCTCAATTACTTTTGTTTATCAAGTGGAGTTCTAATCAAGTAACCGATTATCAAGGTAACGCAGCCCTTTTATATGGACACTTTTACATTTAATGGTTCAGATCTATTGACCCACTCTATTAGCTGGAAACATTTTTACTTCTTCAATTTGAAAAATAGTCCCCGCGAAAAAAATGTGTTGCATTTTCAATTTGGAATTAGATTTTTATAAATAAACGTCTGTTGACATGACATCATAATCTTGGATCACTTCCATATATTTGTGTTTCACGAACCGTTATAATGGTTTCTCAAAACAGGATCGAATAACAGCATTTTTCTTTGCAAGGTGGTCATTGTAATTTAGAAAACTCTGGGCACAGAATTCTTATTCTGTGGCAGGTTGTAGTGTAGCTTGGGAGGGCGTGTTGAGGGATGTGACACCACTTTTCGAAAAAATTTGTTTAAACGTAGTGATTTCTTTGCCATCCGCGTGCTTCGCCGTCGAATTTGAACAGCAAATCACCTGGCTTATGACCAGGGTGTAGTGCTATGTAAAATAAGCACGGTTGCCATTCGCGAAATTGTTACAAAATACTAAGTAGCAAAATCTAGAGATTGGCGTATTTTTCCTGTATTAACAAGCTCCATGAGCCCCTATCACTCACCCTCTAATGAGTTTCTGACCCCTGTTAAGAATTGTAAATACCTTGCTAATGAACGCCGCCCTCTATAAAGCGCCGATCTCTATTGAACGTCCGCGATCTTGTAAGAGGGGCGTCGATTAGAACACAACCAGCAAGAAGTAAGGAATCGTTTAAACGCTACTATTCGAAACCATGAAAGTTTTATTCATGAGAGACGAGACTCTGACGGAGACGGGGATACATGACATTCTTTTTAATCTGTTTCATCGCATTTTTGTTCATTTTTTGTATTAACGATCGTGTTTTATTTGTATGAACCCGCCCTCTACCGCATCCAAGAATTGGAACGTTGTAAAAACACCGCCGGCGTTCTTTAGAGGAAATACGGTATGAACGCAATCTGTGGCGTGCGTATATCAAGAAGAAAATTATTGAAAG